TTTTTTATGATAAACTTATTTCTAATGAGGCAGCCGTGAAGAGCCACCTCCTCGTGGTATGTGCTGGGTAACGCTAAGCGCTCTTCAACCCCCCGTTGTGGACCCGGGGGTATATTTGGTCCGCCAACCCGTTTGCCGTGGGTGGCGCCCCTGTGTCGGTGGAGGACGGGAGTCTGGTGGTTGAGGGCACTGGTTCCAGGAACAGCGTTCCTTTGCCCAACACACCACTTTGCCCCTTACTTCACCTAGACGGGTGGTAGAACTGGCCCGGTTCTATCAATCGGCTGGTTACGCCAAGCCCTGTGCTACAACTGTAAAATGTTGCACAAAATTTGAGAATTATTCGGTGATATTTTTAAGTCTTGGCAATATTTGAACTTTGAATTTTTGAATTTCAACTGCACAATTTCATGATTGTTTTTGCCTAGAGTCGTATGCTCAGAAGGCGGTGGCTCATGGGCCAATCTGGTGGAATCATTAATGTTTTAATTTTTCGGCTGGAGTATGTCATCCGGGTATCCTTGGTGCTGCAAGTCGGCGATCCTCTTGTTTTTAGCATTGTCGTTGTGATACTCCGTGGTGGGTGGGGAGCTCGGATGATGATTCATTTTACATTAACCATGGCTACGAAACCCCCCTTAAGAAAACGAAACGTCCACTAGACATTGATCGTGAAGATGATGAACACAGACCGCCCTAATCAATTGATTACTGGCCACGCTTTATAGTGATCGAGACTCATGATAAGACGGAAAAACAAAGAAACTGTTCCATCCAACACGTATTTGTTTTCCTTTTCATCTCCAATTGCTCCGAAATCATTAAAAGCTGGAACTACTGTAATATCACTGATGATACCTATGTTCCTAACCCATTAAGGTGCTTCAAGTGCCAAAAATTCGGTCATGGAGTGAACACTTGTACATTGTCTGTCACGTGCGCCCATTGTGGTGAGCAGACACATACAACAGAAGATTGTACCAACAACTTTAAACATTGCACTAACTGCCCTGGAAATCACTCAACTTTCTCAAAGGACTGTCCAATTTGGAAACGGAACATGGAAATCAACAGAATTAAATTTATTCAAAACATTAGTTTTGCAGATGCGAAAAAAAACTTGTCCAAAGATCGGACCTAACAGAAACTTATGCTTCCGTCACCAGAACATCACCTGAACCAACCTTGACCGTAGTCAAATCTTGTGCATGCTGTCAAACCAACTTAACATGGGTTTATACTGACACTCCTCAGATTTTGCCACCCGAAACATCCACTCAAACTGCTGAAGTCATTCCAGAGGCCACATGTGTTCATGATGCACCTTGTACTACGGAGAAATCATCTCAGTCAATGCAAAATTTACTTCTCAATCAAATATGAAAGAAACTGGTAAAAACAAGCCTAAATCTAGATGTGAATCTTCACAAAAGAATCAAAGTGGCAGAGCCTCAAAGGGGTCTAATAACAAAATCCAACAATTTAATAAGTTCGGATCCTTAGAGGACATTGATGTGTCCGAAAACATCCAAACTAGGGCACATAGCTTGTCGCCCTCAAGAAAAGTGCGGGGTAGATCCCCAATCAACCCACCAAAAAGTTAATGTATTCTAAAAATATAGTACAGTGGAATTGTAGAGGATTAAGGACTAATTTTAATGAATTACAGTTATTAGTCCAGGATCTGGCACCATCAGCATTCTGTCTGCAGGAAACTTATCTGAAACAGACAGATACTTTTAATCTACGTCAGTTCGAAGCATATCATTCTTTCTCACCTCCGGGTGATAGGGCCACTGGCGGGTCTTCAATTCTTGTTAAGCAGAATGTAATCCACAGCCACACTTACAACTAATCTTCAAGCCGTTGCAGTGAGACTTACTCTTCATCATGCCTTCACAATATGTTCTCTAGATATTCCGCCTTCTTCAACACTCCAGCAGTCTGATCTCTGACCAACTTCCTAAACCTTGTATTATAATGGGTGATCTGAATTAAACCGATCTGGGGTGGTACAAGCACTAACTCTAAAGGTAAAATACTGGAAGATGTTATCTCCAATAATGACTTGTGTATATACAATGACGATTAAAACACTTATCTGTATCCTGCAACCGGCACCTACTCTTCTCCAGATTTGTCTCTTGCAGACTCTAACCTCCTCAATGAATTTGATTGGTCAGTCCACAATGACCTCTGTGGAAGTGACCACTTTCCAACTATCCTATCAGAAATTTATCCATCTGATTCTCCATCTTATACAAGATGGAATTTTCCAAGGCAGACTTGTCCTTATTTCAATCGTTATGCACATCTAAATTAAGACCCGGATATTTCAGTGATATAACTGATCCTATTGAGGTGTATTCTGACGTTTTAAATGAAATAGCTGATGAGTGTATACCAAAGTCATCTACAACTCCACATGTATGGAAACCATGGTTTAATACAGATTGTAGGCAAGCCAGAAAGGCGAGGAAAAAGGCAGAGAACTATTTCCGCCATCACCCAACTGTCTATAACTTAAATAAATTTAAAATACTCAATGCGAAGGCGCGTCGTACCTTCAAACAAAACAAACGGCAATCTTGGAGGAACTATGTCTCCAACATTAATTCACGTACGCCAATATCCTGAGTATGGAACATGGTTCAAAGAATTAAAGGCAAAGGTTCAAAGTCTGCTGTTCATCTTAAAGATGGTGATAATTGAATTACCGACAAGTCTAAAATTGCAAATAAAATTGGCGAAACTGTTGCCAAAAATTCTTCATCGGCAAATTATGTCCATGAGTTTCAGAGATATCAGAAACAACAGGAAAAGACAAAACTTAATTTCGAATCAAATAACGGTGAGGATTATAATGAAGTGTTTTCATTACATGAGCTACATATACTGCTCTTGAGCAAGCACATGACACTGCATTTAATGTCCACGAATGGCATGGCCAAACACAATTCAAAATGACTACAACCTAAAGGCTCTTGAAGTGACTACCTAACAACAAACAACAACACATGACTGCCTTCATCTCGGCCTGTCTCAGTATGTCCTCATCATATTCACGGGAGTCTGGTGAAGTCCTTCTAGAACTCCCTGCCATTCAAAATTATGCACTAGACTGAACCTGAGATATGCCTAACAGATGAATAGATTGCTGGAGTACGCATGGCACAAAATGGAAGCCCTGATCTGTCTGAATAGTCAAACCTTACATAGTGTAGAACTTCACCAAAGCCTCAATAAGATAATAGCCTCTGGAGATCCCGCGGGCACACAGTAAGCATGTACTGTTTGCCTAACCTAGTTTTAGACAGAGGTCCATTACAAAGAGATGGGATTAAGTTATGGCCAAATGATCTGCCCAAGGAGTTTCATGTGCCTAAACTCAAAACATGTTTTCAATAAGAATTTAGAAAAACAATCTAATGTAAAACCCTCAATTCCATCAGCAGGTACATCGATCGGCCTCCATTTTTACATTAAAATGCTCTCCTTACAGTAATAGGAAACTGGAGCCCTGCCAGCTTCTTTAAAGAGAGTGACCTATGGACAAGACGTTAGAATTCTTGATGTTCTCCCAATTACTTAACCATAACCAGTGGTTCCTCAACAGCCAATTTTTAGAATTGTGAGTACTCGCCCTAAAACATTTTGAGAGTTCAAGAGAACGACCCATGAAAAATAGTAACTAGAGACATTCTCAGAAGACATTTGCCTACAAATAATACCAGTAGCAACACATGAAGGAAAATACCTGGAATTTCTTTTTCAAGACACTTATCGAATTGCTAAGCTCATAACAGGATGAACAAAACATATTCCCCCTGCCAAATCGTTCCCATAAGCATGTCCACACCTAGGGATTATAGGGATAGGGAGAGTTTCTGCAACCCCCAACCTTACCAACCCAGACAGTCTTCAAATTCACAAAATGGGGAGGCGCACTGATGAAACCTCATAAACCCTCCCTGTGTTGAATTCTCCATCATAAGGGACAAATATTTCAATATCAAAACAGTAAAGGATCTTTTTATTAAAGTTAATTATCAATTAATCATTGATTTTGTAAAAGAGATAGATTTGTTAAATGAATTTTGATATATGTTGTGTAAATAGATAAAGTTTTATAATTGGTAGTTCAGATTGTCAACTTAGATTGTTAGTGGCTGTATCCTCAAAGGGGGGTTGAAGTAGAGTAAAATTATTGTCCTCCTGAGAGGGCACGTAAGTCCCAAAAACTTTCAAAGTAAAATTATCACGTACCAAGTTTTTAAACGTAGTATTTTTGTTCTTTTAAATTTCGGCTAAATTATCCTACAATCGCCAGCGGCTGAAGGGATGATGTAAATCCAGCTAGGCTCCATGCAGGTAGCAAAAGTAATGTAAGTCCCCATGGTTCCTAGTATGGTGATCTACCTTCAGTTGTTGGCGATCTATAACACGTGTTTTATATTGTACTGTCTTCTTCAATTGAAATGTTTTATATTGTATAAATTGTTTTCGTCACGACATGGCTGAGATATTGCCGACGTGACGTTAAATATTAACTCACTCACTCACTCATAAACCCTCCAACAAAAACTGAGAATAGGCTAATGACTCCTCGTAAAGTGGACAAATAACATCCAAGAGTGCCTGTATCCCTCCAAAAATTTATGGGCCTGACAGTGGAACTGTCACCATTGGCTGACACAAAACCTTCACTCACGAAAGGTAACCCCCAAAAAATGAAACGGTAGAGAGTTTCGCTGACATTCATACAAACGTTTTTAGCAAATATGAATTTCCCATGTTTGGATGCATCGGTGGTGATGTACGGGTAGAGTAAAAATTACCGATAAAGTGGAAGAAACGAAAAAGCTCAACAATCATGAGGGAGCGTGGCAACCAAACACACCAACATGAAATGAGCGTGCAACATGAATTATTGGACAATGAAAACGATGGGTTTTCATTTGTCTGTCAACACATTTGTACAGCAAGTGAAAAGTGAAAATATGTCACGACTGACAGAAGCTCAACGCAACAACGCCATCGGCAAACTGCAAATCTACATCGGTTCATACTCTTGCAATGGTACTTGGTGATGCGTGGAAAAACCTGGCTAGGCACAGCTTACCTGGCATACGGGTTCGTGACTTAAATGATAGGCTCACCACGACCACAGTTTAAGTAGAACAATGAGGAGTTCATCCCAGAAAGTCAATTCACTGTTTTATTTATTCATTTAATTACACACACAACACACAACACACACACAAAACACACACACACAAAACACACACACACACACACACACACACACACACACACACACACACACACACACACACGAGGACCAGTTTGAGGCGTCATTTGATACTGACCAACATCGTCGCATCCGCATTTGTTTTTTCTGCTCTGTACCGACCTGGGGAACAGGAGCAGGGGCACATGTAAAGATGTGGGCCGAAATCTCCCATGCCGGTAGAACAGACTTGGTACACGTCTAGGGCAACTGGACATCACAATATTAAGCAGATGACATTCATCGTCCACACATCCTTCCCATTGCTATTCTCGACCTGACCAACTCACAACTGATAACGGCCTGTTCGACTAACCACACCATCCAAGAACTGCCATTTACCCTCAAGGTCTCCAGATCTTAAACCACATCGAGCATCATGTATAAGATGGTGTTGATCTGCATCTGCTTTCAGGCCAACATTAGCCACAGAATCTCAAACATCTGGCACAAGCACTGCAGGAAGAGTGGATGCACATGACCTTCACCTTGACATTTGATTGTTTCATGTACACCATGATGAACCATGGTCATTGGAACTGACTTGATTAAATTATTATTATCTGTTGAATATTTATATAATACATAAAGCATACATCTGAAAACAACTTTTGCGCCTCCGTTTGTTTGTTTTTTTTGGGTTTTTTTGTAGAGTATATATCAACGACGTGGAAGTGTAACATGACAGTTGGGTACACACACACACACACACACACAGAGAGAGAGAGAGAGAGAGACACACACACACACATACATACATACACACACACATACATACATACATACACACACACACATACATACCCACATACATACATACACACATACATACATACATACAAACATACATACATACATACATACATACATACATACATACATACATACATACATACATACATACATACATACATACATACATACATACACACACATACATACATACATATATATACACAGACACACATACATACATACATACCCACATACATATATACATACATACATACCCACATACATACATACCCACATACATACATACATACATACATACATACATACATACATACATACATACATACATACATACATACATACATACATACATACATACATACATACATACATACATACATACATACATACATACATACATACATACATACATACATACATACATACATACATACATACATACATACATACATACATACATACATACATACATACATACATACATACATACATACATACATACATACATACATACATACATAAAGAACGTGACGAGAATACCGAGCGTACAGTAGTACATATATAAGAAGTAGTTTCTGAAATAATCACACGACACGGATCATCTATATATATACAATGTCAATAGTGATACTGACAAAACTTAGGAATATTTGATAAAATTCTGATACCTCTTGGCACATTTAAAAAACATTTTTTATTAATTATTTCAATAAATATTTTCTAAGTATATGCCCGGAAGTATTTTTATACAATTGTCACAGGTTTGGGAAGAAATTGAAATTGTGAACAAATATCTTTATCTTGGGGTTTGTGGGAATGGAAACTTTGAGAACCGTTTAAGCGAATTGCAGATCAAACTGCAAGAGCAATGTTTTATGTATTCAAAGTTATTAGACTCAGTTTACTCAACGGGTTAGAAATTGTATATGATATGATAATACTGTGGTTTTGTAACGGGTCCATTTGTAATAACTGTAAATATATCTTAAACTTAAAGCAATCGACACCAAACGTTTATATCTGTGGAGAACTCGGTAGATATCCAGTATCTTAGTTAATGTCAGTGAATGTTCGCTAACTGCAAACTTCTGGGCACTAACGATGTGGATCAATTGTGTTATAATCTTTATATTGCAAGATACATAAACTATCGTATTAAACGGATGCTCATTGTATTCTTGTAGAAAATGTTAACAATATTTTGAATGAAACTGGTGGTGAAATCAATACATTCCAAATGCCAACTGACTTTTAAAAGATAATAGTAGTTCTTATTGGTCAATTCAGACAATTTAACTCAATTAAAATCTTTAAAAGGGAAATAATATCAGCGTAACGAAACTCTGAAAATCGAATCCAATTTGTTGAATTTACCCTTTATTCTACGAAGGTAGTTAGCAAAAACTTGACCTGTCAACTGGTCGTTGGCAAAAGAGGGCTGACCTAAAGGAATGTAAAAACTATGGTCCTCCTGTTGGGGAACGTTCGTCAACAAACCTTAAGCGCTTCAAAGCTAATTTAAGCTTACCTATTATTTTAAATGCAGTATACTTGTGAATTTAAATTGTGGCTAAATGTGACTACAATCGCCAGCGGCTGAATGAACGATGTAAATCCAGCTAAGGTGTATACAGGTAGCAAAAGTACTGTACGTTCCCGTGGTTCCTAGTATGGGGATCTTCCTTAGGTTGATGGTGTCCTTTGGCCTGGTTTTATATTGTGTATTGTTAGAGAAGTGTTATTATTTCAACGCTGCATGCTTGTTTTAATTCTAACTGTGATACCCTTTGCTGTTTTACGTCAAATTTGTTCTCGTCACGATATGGCCGAAATATTGTCGATGTGGCGATTAATATTCACTAACTCAATTGTTTGTATAATGTAAAATGTTGAGCGTGAAGAATATAAGTTTCTGCATGTCTGTCCTGTTTTAAACGAAGATCGTGTCCCGTACATTCCAATTTTTTCATTATGTATCCAAATAGTTAGACGTTCCTAAAACTTGCGACAATAAGGTACTAGTCCAGAACTTGGTAAAATCGGGAAATAAGGGTATCAAATATAACACCCTAGCAAGTAAGTTCGGGTCAGAACTACCAATTGTCTATGTTTAGTTCAGAAAATGAAGTACAGATTGTGATCCATCAAGTATTATTGTTATGTCGACGCAAATAGCGTCAAGAAATATTCTGTATGGAGCAGTAATATTCTGTATTCTGTAATTAACGGCTTTAATGTCTTTTCTCGTAGCCTATGTGCAAGAATTTCTGCACATATAAAAATATGTGCGACAAAATTGGATCCCATTGCCTGTATCCTCTGCGAAGAATTCTGAAAGCCCATTTAGTAAAACACTTTACGTGATAGTATTGTAGAAAATCCACTTTCTGATAGACGATTCGACAAATTTCCATTTAAAAATCAATCAGTATAAGTAAACCTATCACGTTTATAAATTCCGTATACAAATATGGTGCAATTACCCATGCAAAAACCAAAACCCTTATGAAACCCGAAGAGTAGGGTGATGTAGAGCTGGGCCAATGTGAATGGGACTGGACTGGTCACTGAACCCTGAAGAACCTTTATTAACGACCTTGTGACATAATACGTCTATTGTTGGTTTCAATTCCGCATGTATGTGAATAATAATTTTGCTTTCCTTTATATGTCCTTTACCCCAGGGCGCGATGTTACTACCTCTGTTGTTTGGATGCCAACTGGTGGTTGCAACGACTCAACTTCGACTAGGCGGCCCTTTGGTGGATTATTTCAATATAACGAATGCAAAACTGGGAGAAATCGTAGTAGAAGCTCTGGAAATAGTGAAGAATGAAAATAATTTGCAGCAAAGCTTCCAACATATAGGTACATATTCATAGACATTTTAGTTATTTGATGAGACCAGTGCAAATGAATAGAAAGCACATGTTGCTTGGTCTAGCTGCATCACGAATATATACTCAGGAGCAGAAGAAAGTACACCTATGTTGTTTGTTTTTTATGTAATTGAAACCTGGAAGAAATGTTCAATTTGATTTGATGTCCATTCAACCATCATTAATTATAGGTATTGCATTCACTGTTAAAAACGAATGTGGTTCAATTAAACCTGTGGTAAGAGATTCATTTGCAACGACTTGACCCCAACCTTGTTCGATATATAAATTTGTTTATTTTTTGGATAGATATGATGGCTGAAAATGCGGTTTACAAAATACAACATGTTGAAGTATTTTTATAGAATGTCTCTAACTGACAGAAAATTGAAAATAAACATAATTAAATCAACTCAGATGTAAGTTTCAATTGCTCCAAAGTTTGGGTGCAGATTAATTTTGAAAACAGTTTCCTCACAATAATGGTTTCTCCTCTTACATGGCTCTAATCAATGGCTAAAAGTTTAGTGAGGGAGTGTATTTAGTTTTACACCGCTTTCAGCATTATTCCAGTAACATTATGGCAGGTGACACCAGAATTGGGCTTCACACATTGTACTCATGTGGGGAATCGAAACCGGATCTTCGGTCTGACGAACGATCACTTTAACCACTAGGCTACCCCACTGCCCCTATAAAATTGGAACAAATGTTCACATTTAAGAAAGGAGTGCGGGTTCTTCTTCTATGGAACGTTTATTAAAGCACTGTCGCCAACAACGAGTTAGACGAAAACGTAAAACGCCTTTTTCAGTTAAAAAGAAGAAAGAATATTTCCAGTTTGGTTGCTTTGAATTTTCTCTTGAAACATGTTTTCAAGTAAGGTTGCGGCTTCCAGCTTTAGGAGTACTGTTTTGAACGATCCTATTAGTATGGGGCTTCACGTCAAATGTACAAAAGGTCAAAGGCATTATAGAGATAAAGAGATTTACGAGTGTAAATGGCAGCCATGTTGGAAAATGATCGTCACTGTCTAATCCAGCACCCTGTCTAAACCGGCATGTTATTTCGGTCCCGTGGGTGCCGGTTTAGACAGGGTGTCGGATTAGACAGGTTTCACTGTACTTTTTTTTTGCAGATCAAGTTGCAAATGACCGTGCAAAGAAGTTCAGCTCAATTACGTTCACGTCGCTGGTCAGCAGTCGCCGCGGTGAGGACCATCGGCTGAACGTAATTATATCGAGGCTTATATTGCAACAGTAAGTATATTTGTCATTGCATTTAGGAGATAAACGCTATCTGTCTTCAGATTTGCGGGTGTTACTGATGTTGATGCGCAGAAAGGAAGAGGTGGAGATAAGTATTATGCGTTGTCAGATTTGAACTTGTTATTGATGTTTGATGCCCAAAAAGGAAGATAAGCATTGTCCTTTGTCAGATTTGATCCCCAGAAAGGCGTAGAAACATTATGCGTTCTCAGATTTGCGGGTGTTTTTCTATGTTTGGTGCCTAGAGAGGAGGAGGTGGTAGATAGGCATTGTAGTAAAAAGGACACTGTAGTAAAAAGAACACAGTAGTAAAAAGAGCACTGTAGTAAAAGAACACTGTAGTAAAAAGAACACAGTAGTGAAAAGAAGACAGTAGTAAAAAGAACACTGTAGTAAAAAGAACACAGTACTAAAAAGAACACTGTAGTAAAAGAACACAGTAGTAAAAAGAACACTGTAGTAAAAAAAAGAAGACAGTAGTAAAAAGAACACTGTAGTAAAAATAACACTGTAGTAAAAAGAATACAGTAGTAAAAAGAACACTGTAGTAAAAAGAACACTGTAGTTAACAGAACACTGTAGTAAAAAGAACACTGTAGTAAAAAGAACACTGTAGTAAAAAGAACACAGTAGTAAAAAGAACACTGTAGTAAAAAGAACACTGTAGTAAAAAGAACACAGTAGTTAAAAGAACACAGTAGTAAAAAGAACACTGTAGTAAAAAGAAGACAGTAGTAAAAAGAACACTGTAGTAAAAAGAACACAGTACTAAAAAGAACACTGTAGTAAAAAGAACACTGTAGTAAAAAGAACACTGTAGTAAAAAGAACACTGTAGTAAAAAGAACACTGTAGTAAAAAGAACACAGTACTAAAAAGAAAATGTAGTAAAAAGAACACTGTAGTAAAAAGAACACAGTAGCTAAAAGAACACTGTAGTAAAAAGAACACTGTAGTAAAAAGAACACTGTAGTAAAAAGAACACTGTAGTAAAAAGAACACTGTAGTAAAAAGAACACAGTAGTAAAAAGAACACAGTAGTAAAAAGAACACTGTAGTAAAAAGAACACAGTAGTAAAAAGAACACTGTAGTAAAAAGAACACTGTAGTAAAAAGAACACAGTAGCTAAAAGAACACTGTAGTAAAAAGAACACTGTAGTAAAAAAGAAGACAGTAGTAAAAGAAAAAAAAGAACACTGTAGTAAAAAAGAACACTAGTACCTAAAAAGAACACTGTAGTAAAAGAACACTGTAGTAAACAGAACACTGTAGTAAAAAGAACACTGTAGTAAAAAGAACACTGTAGTAAAAAGAACACTGTAGTAAAAAGAACACAGTAGTAAAAAGAACACAGTAGTAAAAAGAACACTGTAGTAAAAAGAACACTGTGGTAAAAAGAACACTGTAGTAAAAAAAAGAACACTGTAGTAAAAAGAACACAGTAGTAAAAGAACACTGTAGTAAAAAGAACACTGTAGTAAAAAGAACACTGTAGTAAAAAAAGAACACAGTACTAAAAGAACACTGTAGTAAAAGAACACTGTGAGTAAAAGAACACTGTAATAAAAGAAGACTGACTGTAGTAAAAGAACACTGTAGTAAAAGAACACTGTAGTAAAAAAGAACACAGTAGTAAAAAGAACACACTGTAGTAAAATGAACACTGTAGTAAAAAGAATACAGTAGTAAAAAGAACACTGTAGTATAAAAAGAACACAGTAGTAAAAAGAGACACAGTAGTAAAAGAACACTGTAGTAAAAGAACACAGTAGTAAAAAGAACACTGTAGTGATAAAGAACACTGTAGTCAAAAAGAACACAGTAGTTAAAAAAGAACACTGTAGTGATAAAAAGAACACAGTAGTTAAAAAGAACACTGTAGTAAAAGGAACACTGTAGTAAAGAGAACAGAAAGTAAAAGACAACATGGTAGTAAAAAGAACACTGTGATAAAAGGACACGCTGTGATAAAAAGAACACAGTAGTAAAAAGAACACAGTGATTAAAAGAACACTGATAAAAAGAACACAGTAGTAAAAAAGAACACAGTAGTAAAAAGAAGACTGTAGTTAAAAGAACACTGAGTGAAAACAAGACAACAGAATGATGTATGTAATAAAAAGAACACAGTAGTAAAAGAACACTGTAGTAAAAAGAAGACCAGTAGTGAAAAAAGAACACTGTAGTAAAAAGAACATACAGTAAAAAGAGCACTGTAGTAAAAGAACACTGTGAGTAAAATGAACACTGTAGTACAAAAGAACCACAGTAGTGAAAAAAAAGAACACTGTGAGTAAAAAAGAACACTGTAATTGAAAAGAACACAGAGCAGTAAAAAGAACACTGTAGTAAAAGAACACTGTAGTATAAAACACTGATTAAAAAGAACACTGTAGTAAAAAGAGACAGTGCAAAAGAGTAAAAAGAACACAGTTTTAAAAGAACACAGTGAGTAAAAAGAACACTGTGAGTAAAAAACTGCATTGAAAAGAAAACTGATAGTAAAAGAGCACTGTAGTAAAAAAACACTGTAGTAAAAAAATAACACAGTAGTAAAAAGGAAGACAGTAGTAAAAAAGAACACTGTAGTAAAAGAACACAGTAGTAAAAAGAACACTGTAGTAAAAGAAAATGATAAAAACACTGTAGTTAAAAGAACACAGTAGTAAAAGAAGACAGTCAGATAAGAAAGAACACTGTGAGTAAAGAACACTGTGATAAAAAGAACACTGTGAGTAAAAGAACACAGATGAGTAAAAGAACACTGTAGTAAAAAAAGAACACTAGTAAAAGAACACTGTAGTAAAAAGAACACTGTAGTAAAAAAAGAACACAGTACTAAAAGAACACTGTAATTAAAGAACACAGTGAAAAAGAACACAATTGTAAAAAAAGAAGGCAGTAAAGGTTACTGTAGTAAAGAACACAGTAGTAAAAAGACCATATGTAGTAAAAAAGAACACTGTAGTAAAAAGAACACAGTGAGTAAAAAGAACACAGTAGTAAAAAAGAACACTGTAGTAAAAAAGAACACTGTGAGTAAAAGAACACTGTAGTTAAAAAGAACACTGTAGTAAAAAGAACACTGTAGTAAAAAGAACACTGTGAGTTAAAAAAGAACACAGTATTAAAAGAACACTGTAGTAAAGAACACTATGGTAAAGAACCACAGTGGTTAAAAAGAACACTGGTGAGTAAAAGAACACTGTGAGTAAAAAGAACTGCTAGTAAAAGAACTAAAGAACCTGATTGAAAAAAAAGAAACACAGTAATAAAAAAGAACACTGTAGTAAAAAGAACACAGTAGTAAAAAGAACACTGTATTGTAAAAGAACACAATTAATTAAAAGAACACTGTAGAGTAAAAGAACACTTTAGTAAAAAAGAACACTAGTAATGTTAAAAGAACACAGTAGTAAAAAGAACACTGTGAGTAAAAAAAAAAAAAGAACACTGTAGTAAAAGAACCTGATTTAAAAGAACACAGTCAAATAAAGAAGAACACTGTAAAAAAGTAAAAAGAAGAACACTAGTAAAAAAGAACACTGTAGTAAAAGAATATTCAGTACTAAAAAGAACACTGTAGTATAAAGAACACTGTAGTAAAAAGAACACAGTAGTAAAAAACTGTGAACACTGTAGTAAAAAAGAACACTGTAGTAAAAAAGAACACAGTGATAAAAGAACCTGTGAGTAAAAAGAACACCGTAGTAAAAGAACACTGTTTAAAAAGAACACTGTAGTAAAAGAACGCACTGTGTAAAAAAAGAACACTGTAGTAAAAAGAACACTGTAGTAAAAAGAACACTGTAGTAAAAAGAACACATTGTAAAAAAAGAACACAGTAGTAAAAAAGAACACAGTGAAAAAAAAAGAACACAGTAGTAAAAAAAGAACACTGTAGTAAAAAGAACACTGTAGTAAAAGAACACTGTAGTAAAAAGAACACTGTAGTATAAAAAGAACTAAACTGAAAGTAGATAAAAAAAGAACACTGTGAGTAAAAAAGAACACAGTAAGTAAAAGAACACAGTAGTAAAAAAGAACACTGTAAGTAAAAGAACACTGTAGTAAAAAGAACACAGTGAGTAAAAAAGAACACTGTAGTAAAAAAGAACACTGTAGGTAAAAGAACACTGTAATAAAAAAGAACACTGTAGTAAAAAGAACACAGTAGTAAAAAAGAACACTGTGTGTAAAAAAGAACACAGTGGTAAAAGAACACAGTGTGAGTAAAAGAACACTGTGATAAAAAGAACACAGTGAGTAAAAGAACACTGTAATAAAAAGAACAGTGAGTAAAAAGAACACAGTAGTAAAAGAAACTAGTGAGTAAAAAGAACACTGTAGTAAAAGAAACTGTGATAAAAAGAACACTGTAAAAGAACCACCAAAAAAGAACACTGTAGTAAAAAGAACACTGTATTAAAAAAGAACACTGATGAAAGAGTAAAAAGAACACTGTAAGTAAAAGAACACTGTAGAGTAAAAAGAACACTGATTGAGTATAAAAGAGAATACACTGTAAAAAAAGAACACTAATGATAAAAGAACAGTGATAAAAAGAACACTGTGAGTAAAAGAACACAGTAGCAAAAAGAGTACTCGTGTAAAAAGAACACAGTAGTAAAAAGAACACAGTAAGTAAAAGAGAACAGTGAAAAAAAGAACACTGTGATAAAAAGAACAGTGTAAGTTAACGTTTAAAAGAACACTGTAAAATAAAAAGAACACTGTGAGAAAGTAAAAAAAAGAACACTGTGAGTAAAAAGAACACTGTAGTAAAAAGAACTTTAATAGTGGAAAAGAACACTGATAAAAAAAGAACACAGTAGTAAAAAGAACATAGTTTATAAAAAGAACACAGTGATAAGAAAAAGAACACTTTAATAAAAAAGAACACTGTAGTAAAAGAACACAGTAGTAAAAATAACACAGTAGTAAGAAGAAGACTGTAGTAAAAGAACACTGTAGTAAAAAGAACACTGTAGTAATAAAAAGAACACAGTAGTAAAAAGAACACTGTAGTAAAAAGAAGACAGTAGTAAAAAGAACACTGTAGTAAAAAGAACACTGTAGTAAAAAGAACACTGTAGTAAAAAGAACACTGTAGTAAAAAGAACACTGTAGTAAAAGAACACAGTAGTAAAAAGAACACAGTAGTAAAAGAACACAGTAGTAAAAGAACACAGTAGTAAAAGAACACTGTAGTAAAAAGAACACTGTAGTAAAAGAACACTGTAGTAAAAAGAACACTGTACTAAAAGAACACAGTTTTAAAAAGAACACAGTAGTAAAAAGAACACTGTAGTTAAAAAGAACACAGTAGTAAAAAGAACACTGTAGTAAAAAGAACACTGTAGTAAAAAGAACACAGTAGTAAAAGAACACAGTAGTAAAAGAACACTGTAGTAAAAAGAACACAGTAGTAAAAAGAACACTGTAGTAAAAAGAACACAGTAGTAAAAAGAACACAGTAGTAAAAGAACACTGTAGTAAAAAGAACACTGTAGTAAAAGAACACTGTAGTAAAAAGAACACAGTGAGTAAAAAGAACACTGTAAAAAGAACACTGTAGTAAAAAGAACACTGTGAGTAAAAAGAACACTGTAGTAAAAGAACACTGTAGTAAAAAGAACACTGTTTTAAAAAGAACACAGTAGTAAAAAGAAGAACAGTAGTAAAAGAACACAGTAGTAAAAGAGCACTGTGAGTAAAAGAACACTGTAGTAAAAAAGAACACTGTGAGTAAGAAAACAGTAGTAAAAGAACTGTAGTAAAAAAGAACACAGTAGTAAAAAGAACACAGTGAGTAAAAAGAACACTGTGAAGAAAAAGAACACTGTAGTAAAAAGAACACTGTAGTAAAAAGAAGACAGTAGTAAAAAAGAACACTGTAGTAAAAGAAACTGTTTAAAAAGAAAGTACTAAAAAGGACACTGTAGTAAAAGAACACTGTAGTAAACAGAACACTGTACTAAAAAGAACACAATTTTAAAAAGAACACAGTAGTAAAAAGAACACTGTAGTAAAAAGAACACAGTAGTAAAAGAACACTGTAGTAAAAAGAAAACTGTAGTAAAAAGAACATAGTAGTAAAAAGAACACGGAAAGTCGCGGGTTCGATCCCCGACTGCGTCATACTAAAAGACGTTAAAATATGGTACTTGTTGGTCCCTTGGCATTAATGGGTACAACAAGGACTGGTCGGCTCCTGGTCAGTATAATGTGTCTGAGTGGGGTATTCATGCTTCACTTCGGCGTGGTATCTCAGTGGGCTAGCACTATAAAAATCAGCTTAAGTCTGGGCTAGTACAAGCAGCCGCACATACACATACGCATGCACGTCGTCATATGAGCGAAATATTCTCAAGCACGACGTTAAACTCAATTTCACCTCACCTCTACCCGTATGCAGGGTTATCGCTCTGCATGCCGTGATAACACTGCTGGCAACACACCAACATACCCTCAGTCATTGTAGAAAATCATCTGAAACAACACAGAACAAAGGTACATGTAGATGATGCTAACTATAACATACATTCCTGATTTAACCATGTAAATACTAAAAAGTTACCCGTATGGTACTGCACGACAGCCGAGAGAGTCAAACCATTAAATATCTCACTCTTATATACCACTCTAGGACCACTAGCGCCCCTAGATTATCTGCCCTTTGATACTTGCTCACCGCTAGGAGAAATCAATTTTGCTCTAATTCATTCTTCAAACGAGGAAAACAATATTAGAATTGAATGCTCAATTGAGATTCATCGGTTCCCGATTGCGCAGAACAATGCTCATGTTATTGATCACTGGATTGTCTGGGCCTCGATTATTTACAGACCGCCGCCATATAACTTGAATATTGCTGAGTGCGGCGTAAAACTAAACTCACCCACTTTTCAAGTATAGTCAAACACACTGTATAGTTTGCTTTGAGCCGTACTCTTGAATCTAGACTCTTACGATTTCTTAACTCTTAATCAATTTAACCGGGTCGATTTTTCTCCTCGTTGAATGAAGTGCCCGAGATTCACCATAAGTTCAGTAGTTCACTTAAAAAAGAAAAGTTTGGTCCGAGACATTAAAACTGCCCCAATGTGTTGCGAAACAAATTCTCATTTTCTTTAATGATAAGCATCGGGTTCTCTGTACGTTCCACTTCATCAAATCACTTGATTGCCTGGTTCGTTTGCAGGCCTCCGTCGAATACTACTACGCAGGGTCCGTCAAAAACTACTTCCATTTTTAGGCAGATATTGAGTGAGTGAGTGAGTGAGTTTGATTTTACGCCGCTTTTAAGCAATATTCCAGCAAAATCACGGCAGGGGACCCCAGAAATGGCAGATATTGTGAATGACGGGTGCCACCGGAAGAACAGGACATGCTTGGTCGGATTGTTAATAGGGGAAAATTGAAAAGCGTTGAGAATACAGATCCGTGCCAGTTATATTCGGCCTCTTGACGTAATTCCCATAGACTTACATGTTTATTTAGTGTAGCATAAAGAATTTTCATGAATTTAATTTTCGTAAAATCAAAGTCAAATTTTGCACATTTGTGTGGAATCATCTTACCTACAATCACATAATTCCTGTTTATTTATCGAATGGCAACAATTTAATCAACATATTACAGTGCCGTGAACTCCTTTAACATGGCGGCCTATGGGATTGTGCATTTTAGTACCATACCTAAGTTGACAAATGTGATGTCATTAGTTAAATAGTGGTTGGAAAATTGAACTGAAATTATGTGCGCAGAGCTGAGATGATTTCACATTTGCCTGTAAACGTTTACAAAGGTCCATCGGTTTTACTTAAATGCATAGCCATAGATAGCGTGATGTCCCACGATTATGGAAATGCTTGTGTCATGTTTTTTTAATTACAGTGTTCAAACATTGGGAACAGTACCACCGTCTATTTTGGAGGAAGGATTTGGACCCCAAATCCACTGTGATGTTGAACCCGGATGCAACGAGAAATCTCACTACCGGGAAGCCGATGGCAGGTGTAACAATCTCGTTCACTCCAGATGGGGGAGTGCATTCATTCCAATGAGACGCTGGATGCCTCCAGTATATGATGACGGTGAGTTTCCTTTCATTTACAGTCGTTAGTATAGGGGTATGTCGGGTGGTCTAGTGGTTAACGCGCCCGAGACCGGAGTTTGGTGGCTGAAATGTCTCTGGTGTTTCCATCCGTGACAGTTTTGGAATGTTTGTATAAGGGGTGTTAAGGCTTGCTCGCCTATTTATTACCCAATAGTTCAAGCGGATGGTTGATACATGTCATCATAGCCTAATAGGGTAGATCATTGCTCTTATGTCTATTATTATTATATGGGTATTTATATAGCGCTATAGTCCATCCACATGCATGCTCAAAGGGCTTCTTTGTTTATCCCTCGAGCCTTGGATGTCAATCTCAGCGGCACATCATATCATCAATCTCAACTCCCTTGGGATTATACAACCATTGCTGCCACTAGGCGCACCGAGTTAATGTGACTTTCTCGTCCTTTCGAGGTATCCATTCACAGCTGGGTGGACTGGAACACATAGTCACAGTACTTTGTCCAAGTTTACTGCTCATTGCTGTACCCACAACTAGGTGTTTACACGTATTCATATGGCCACCATCTGGTCATATACCAACGGATTCGTGGGTTCTTTTAAGTGCACAGGGTTGTGTACTGTACACTAGGGGTTGTGACAACACTGACAGAGTCTGCACACAAAGTTGACTCAAGGTTTTTACGCCCGGTCACAGGTAGGCTCCATCCCGGCACCTCCAAGCTCACTGGATCACTAGCCTGGCGCCTTAGCCGGCTCGCCCACCACGCCCCCATACATTGACATAGACATATGTATTTCAGTTAACGTGGGAAGATTGTTTGGGGTTTTAGGTTGCCGCACTCAGCAATATTTCAGCTGTATGGCAGCGGTCTGTAAATCGAGTCTGGTCCACACCATCCAGTGAGCTATAGCATGAGCATCGATCTGTTGGGAACCGATGACATGGATCAACCAAGTCAGCGAGCCTGACCACCCGGTCCCATTAGTCGCCTCTTACGACAAGCATTGGTTACTGAAGATCAATTCTAACCCGGATCTTCACGGGTAGACGTAGGAAGAACTCACAAAGTAAAACATACATAGACACGGGTCAGATAATTTACTGTTTTTCACAGTTTTCATTTTTGTGAAGACAGGTGAATATGCTACAATTTACTTTGAGAACAGGTGTGGCGAGCCCAAGACAGTACAGCAAAACAGGAGCGAAACTACCCAGTGCTCGTACAGTTAGCACTACCGTCCACGCCCCTTCTACAGCAGATGACGTTAATCCCCGCTTCACCGTCATGCTGATGCAATGGGGTCAGTTTCTGGACCACGACGTCACCAGCACACCCATTCAAGAGCTATCGCATACTGAACGTAAGTTCCAACAAGATATATCAACCCATAAATATTGATTCAGTACAAATGAACCAGAGAATGTTGCTCAATTAAACCATTTTGTTTAAGAGGATATGTGAAATGTTAAACATCTACAAAGGTGCATGCATGCATACATACATACATGCATGCGTACGTACGTGCATGCATGCGTGCGTACGTACGTACGTACAAGCATGCACGCATACATACCATACATGCATGCATAGATGCATACATACATACGTACATACATACATACATACATACATACATACATACAACATACATACATACATACATGCACACACACACAGAGACACACAGACACACATATATACATACATACACACACATGCATACATACATACACATACACACACACACACACACACATACATACATACATACATACATACATACATACATACATACATACATACATACATACATACATACATACATACATACATACATACATACATACATACATACATACATACATTTGTATAGCGCCGATATGCAGCTCAGCTGCTCAAAGGCGCTTTGGTTTTCCCTCGATCACTGGATGTCAATATCAACGGCACGTCATATTATCAATCTCAACTCCCTGGGGACCATACAACTCTTGCAGCCACTAGGCGCACCGATTTAGTGTGGCTTTCCCATCCTTGCGAGGTACCCATTCACAGCATGGTGGACTGGGACACAGTACATCTATGCTCTTGCTAGCAAGCATTGATCTGCCTAACCCAGGATCAGTTATTATAGGGCACCAACGGTACAGTTGCCACATGATAACAAGACAAGCGGGACCAGTGGCGAGTGAGGGAGGGTCAGATGGGTCCATCCAGCTGTATCGAACTTTTTACGGAGGGATGGGTGTGGTGAGAATAACATGAAAAAAAATACGCATAATGTGAGACCTTTGGGTTAAAAGGTATCGGGCAAAACAAATGAGTGATGACTGAAATAGGCTCTAAATGAGAAAAAGAACAAATACCTCTGACCGAGGTTCACCAAGCACACATGAAACAAATAAAATGTCAACGTGAAGGTCGTCTGTTTCTCAATATCATGTGTGGTCCGGCCGTGAGTGTTCAGAACTACCTGGCATCGTCGCCCCGAGAAACCAATCAGATAACGTACCGTGGCCTGGGCAATGTTCCATCTGGTGGAGGTTTAGTTGCGTTTTTTGGCTTTCACTTTTCGGTACCTTATGGTCGTGCTTTATTTGACCCGCACAACTCACTTTTTTCTACTTTTGCTTTCATTTGTTTTGCAGTGTATAAGTTCTTTTGTTCGGCAATATTTTGTTTTCCAGGTACCCATGGGCCATTGATTGCTTGTTGTCCAGGCCTTGTCGAAAGTACCAACATAACCAAAGCCGATTTAGATGCAAGGTAACTTGTTTAGGGCTTCCTACTAATCAGGAAATTGTTACATTTAAAGTGGGAGTGAATCAGCTGTCGTTAGTAAGGTTTGCACAAGGCCCCCTGCTCTGTACAATGAAGCAGACGACTTAATGGATAACAACGTCTGATTAATTGCATAGAGCGACGTTTCAGTGTAGATTGACCCATTGTTATCACTCCTAGGTTGATATGAATCAACACTGCCACGTCGCTCTGTGCAGTAAACACATTGTTATCCATAAAGTCGTCTGCTTCATTATTCTCTCACCAACCATTCTTGCATAGGGGGGGCGGTGGGGTAGCCTAATGGTTAAAGCGTTGGCTCGTCACGCCGAAGACCCGGGTTCGAATCCCCACATGGGTACAATGTGTGAAGCTCATTTCTGGTGTCCCCCGCCGTGATGTTGCTGGAATATTGCTAAAAGCGGCGTAAAACTAAACTCAGTCAGTCAGTCTTGCATAGGGTGTTTCTCGTCAACACTTGTGCTAATTATGTAGTCCCAATTTGTGCTAACGCCTTGATAGAGTGTTTGTCGTCAACTCTTATGCTAACGCCTTGATAGAGTGTTTGTCGTCAACACTTGTGCTAACGCCTTGACATAGTGTTTGTCGTCAACACTTGTGCTAACGCCTTGACATAGGGTGTTTGTCGTCAACACTTGTGCTAACGCCTTGATAGAGTGTTTCTCGTCAACACTTGTGCTAACGCCTTGACATAGTGTTTGTCGTCAACATTTGTGCCAACGCCTTGCATAGAGTGTTTCTCGTCAACACTTGTGCTAACGCCTTGACATAGAGTTTGTCGTCAACACTTGTGCTAACGCCTTGACGTAGTGTTTGTCATCAACACTTGTGCCAACGCCTTGCATAGAGTGTTTCTCGTCAACACTTGTGCTAACGCCTTTACATAGTGTTTGTCGTCAATACTTGTGCTGACGCCTTGCATAGGGTGTTTGTCGTCAACACTTCTGCTAACGCTTGGGACTGACATTTATACTTAAAGGTTCCCTATAGTTTCTAAAGGGTATATAATTATGTAGTCCCAATTTCGTAATAAAGATAAATATCTCATAAGTATATGTTAAGTATATATTCCAACAACCCCGCATCTGTCTGATATCAAGTACCTGTTTTCGACAGACCCCAGTGCTTCGGTATTGACATTAAGAAGGGAGACAGGCGCTTTGATTACCATTGCATGAATTTTGTGCGGTCGGTGCAAGTCGAGAACGTCAACTGTAAATCGGGTATGTATTTCTGACACAGCTTGTCTGACTGCATTGTAGTGGCATCAAACATTGCATGGTTGTTGGGTGTAAGTACACATTGTGCTTGTTCCGCTTCCGACACCCACTGATACCTGCACGGAAGGCAATAATACCTAAGTAACAGGGTACAAATACCTAATTCAAGGGTGGGAATACCTGAGTTGTTGTGTACCCATACCTCACTGAAGGCTGAGAAAATGTCAATCGCAGAGTTCCAATACTGCTTAGATATAAGGGTATTAATACCTGAATTGAAGGGTGCGAATACCCGAGTTGTGGGACTTATAATATCTGCACTGAAGGATCAGAATACGTATATAAGAAGCTAAGTACCAATATCGGAACTGTACGGTGAGAATGCCTGAGTTGAAGTGAGTGAGAGAGTTTAGTTTGACGCCGCACTAAGCAATATTTCAGCTGTATGGCGGCGGTCTCTAAATAATCAAGTCTTGACCAGACAATCCAGTGATCAACAGCATGAGCATCGATCTACGCATTTGGGAACCGATGACATGTGTCAATCAAGTCAGCGAGCCTGGCCACCCGATCCCATTAGTCGCCTCTTACGACAAGCATGGGTTACTGAAGATCAATTTTAACTCGGACCTTCACTGATGCCTGAGTTTTGACTGAAGTTAGAGGTTTTACTCAAATTTGAGAAAACGCATTTCCCAGAATGAACTGAAATTGATATTAAACTCAAATATAGTAGACAAATTGAGTTTGGTGGATAGATTACTTAACTTGTTTGGGCTTTTTTATATTAAAATGCAATTCTGTTAACATTCAGCTGTTTCAAATTGTCGAACTCAGCTTGAAATTTGAGTAAAAAGTTAAGTTTGTTTCGAGAAATCGGGGCCTGATCACGACGGTTTTGAGACGACTTGATTCTATTTTGTGGAACGAGGTGTACCTGTAGTCCTTATGTGTCATTTAATAATTCCCAGCCCCAGCAGAGCAGATGAACCAGATCACTGCCTTCATTGACGCCTCACAGGTCTACGGGTCATCATATGATGAACAGATCAAAGTACGGACATTTCATGACGGTAGGTTATTAAGACAGACCGTATATTACTTTATATTTGCGCCAAATGCTCAGGCTGTGATTAGTAATTAAAATCGTCTACATGGCATATTTGATATTCCTTTATGACAAAATATGTTTGGCTAAACCCTCCATGGAAAGAGAAAACAATTCATTTGTTAAAGACATGGACAATCCTTATCTATAAGATAATATAAAAAATAAAAACATCCTGAGAAGTTATTTAAAATAGTGTAACGAAAACAGATAACAAACCTGTGCTCTAATCATGTTTATTTTGGCATTCGATTGTATGTACTTGTGACTGAGGAACTTCTCTACTATCAGGAAAACTGAAAACTGTAAACCACGACTTCCTGCCACCTGACTTGGAGAATAAAGACGCTTGTAGGACTCAAACCCGTCCGGATTATTGCTTCCTCGCCGGTTAGTAGCTGCCAAACACGGTCACCCATCCAAGGCGAGTCGACGCTGCTTAAGCGATTTGTGACCTGAGCTTTAAGCACAGGACCACGCGCCACCACAGTATAGTCAGTCAGTAATATAATATGACACGCCAGCTTGACAACTTTGGTGAAAACCTGGATGAGTTACAGCGTGTTTAGCTTGACCTGAGCGATCGTAGCGCTCTGACGTACGCATGACTTACCTGTCGGAGGCTACAAATGAGGAACACAAACGGCATGGTCGAGTTAACGGCTTCATTAAATAGGGGAGCTTTTTCCTATCTTGTTCTATTCGGCCTACGGTTGTACTGGAAACACCAGTTGCTGTTGCTGCTCGCTGCCTAAAGCCCAAATCGGAAACATTAAACCATCTGTAGCTTCTTTTTTAAAGACAGTTAGGACATCGCGGACGATTTCTCGACACTGAGATGTTAAACGGCGATCTTGTCTCGGCTGTTCGGACATGTTGACAATCAACTGACAAAGGTGACCCCTTCACAATATTAGACCCAACCAGTTGTGACACGGTCACGCAATGCATTATTCTACCATGACTTCAGTAAACACTGGATTGTGATTGGTTAATTAAAGTCATTCAGAGGTATATAATCACGTTATACAGGTCTCTGTTTTCCGTGCGCAATCATACATGGTTTACGGTAATGCACTATTTTTGTCTGCCCACTAACATGGCGGACACCAAACAACCTACCGATGCATCGATAAATTACGGCGATTTTACTGTCGGAAATTACACATATGTCTTTAAAGATGGATTTAGCGATGACGGGCACGACTCACTACTTGCGTAAATCACAGCAATAGGTGTTTATACATACAAAAGTACTTCGAAAGCATGGAAACAAATATTCAGTCGAACAAGATCAAAACATCGTCTGATTTCCGAATAAAAATTCAGCAAAAACAAATATGTTTACGTTGATTCTATTTTATGTCAGAATAGATCCAGCAATAGACTGCTACAAAATTTCCGTGTTAAATTTATTATCAGCTTTCGTCAACGATATCGCCACTGACTAGATCCGGTAACGGAGGATGCATTAACATCGAACGCCGAAGAAATTTTAATGCCTTCCGTCCACATAAATAAACAGTTGGGTTATCAATTCAAACAAAATGATATTTTGAAATTTGTACTGTTTCAAATTTAGCGGTAGTAAACACAATTAGATCTACAGAATCTGCAAACCGTTCTGTTTAGCCCAAACATATTTTTTTCTAAATGTATAATATCGTTGAAAATGTTATTTAGCTTAGTCATGATCCCTCTTATCCATTACACTGCTTGATCTGAAGTAGTCTATTAAAGTATAATTAATTACCTTACCGTGTTTATGCCAGAGGTACACCCTCGTGTCCTGATCCATCCTTTCGAAATATCACCACAAATCTGGCTCTTTGTCAACAGACTCGCGAACATGCCAGCGAATCCGATTCAATTTGAATTCACTACACTTTGAAGCCACTAGGTCACAAAACACTTTCCAAAATGTAGAAAATAATATCCGTAGAATCGAATTTGAGCACAAAGTACACACATGAGTGTGTAAGAGTCACCACAGCTGTCGCACGCAGACGTAGAGGTGTGCGGAAATCGTCAAGTTGACAGGGCGCAAAATTCAACAGTATCTAAATTCGGTACAACACGGACTTCTCGTTACAGCAAAAGCGCCCCTACTCTTAAATTTTGTACCAGTACCAGTAATTAGATATCAAAGACTATCTCAGTCATACAATCAGGTTAACCTTTGCGCAAACTGTCAGTGGCTCTCCTGTCGCATCTTTCCAAATGTAAACAATGACTTCGAGAAAAGGTCAAGGCCATGAGGTTGCTGCCACTATTCTGGTGGGGAAAGGGTCTACGGTGGAATTTTCAAATGTGAACCAAGCTTTTAAACTTATTTGATATATGTTTTCCAACTTATCAGTTAATGATTGGTGATTGATGCATTGAAAAACAAAACGTGATTTGTTATTACTGAATCTGGAGTTTGTTAGTCATTGACGGTTTGCCACCAAACACCCCGTTTCGGGCGATACCACTTGAGATTGAATGCGAGGCCGCTTCACGTATTGACTCGTAACCAAAGAAAGAGCTCCACCTGAAATTGTTCATAAAATTGTCATAGAATGGAGATAAACTCATTGTGTTGAAATCAGAGGTATATAACGAAATTATAATAGCTCTAATTGTTCATTTAAAACCTCACGCTACGCGTTCGGTTTTAAATGAAATTTAGAGCTATTATAATTTCGTTATATACCTCTGATTTTCCCACACAGTAGGTTTATCTCCTAAGTATTCACTTGATCAGGTCAAGTTGAACAAGCTGTAATTCCATTGTTGGTGTCTGTCGCCATGATGTTGTTAGAGTACTTACTGAAAGGCACAATGTCACACATTTTGGACAATATTTGTGCCTATCTTTTATATATTTGGGGCATATGCACTCACTTTAGCTTCCTATTGGTGCATTAAGAGACTCATTTTCTCTTACGACTTGCCCGAAATAGATAATTGAAACTTCAAGGCGAACAGCTTCAAACAAATAACACTTGTCATATATGGAATATAAACGATTGCTCCGTATATCGAAAACTGTCGCACGCGGTGTTGTCGGTGTTTGCCGAACTGGCCTTAATCACAAGTTGCGTTATAGGATATTCGTAAAGAGCGCTCCAAGGGACATAACTCTATGGGGTTCGCTTGAAATAATGTTCGGAAGAGGGAGCGAGAGTCGATTGAATGCAACGTTGCATTAATTCATTCGAACTGTTTAATTTAATATTGTAATCTAAATACGTATTTTGTTATGGAATAAATGAAATGGTAGCTTCCCTGAGGGCTGATAGTTAGTATTATTGACGGAAATGCATTATATACTTTTAGAGAGGTGTGGTGTGGCAGTGTACTTTTAACCCACAATGGTCCTCATGTGCAGCCACGGGACCAGTCTGATCACGTAAACAAAAGGTCATTCTGTCTTCCTAGGTGACCATCGGGTAAATGAGAACCCCGGACTTCAGAGTATGCACACTATCTTCGTGAGGGAACACAACCGTTTAGCCAGCAGACTAAAGGAACTGAACTGTAACTGGGGAGATGACAGAGTCTTCCAGGAAGCCAGGAAGATAGTTGGAGCCTTCATACAGGTATAGTATTCCTGTATAAACGTACTACGGCACACGATCCGTGAATGTCCGGGTTAGAATGAACCTTCAGTAACCCATGTTGTCGTAAGAGGCGACTAACGGGATCGGATGGTCAGGCTCACTGACTTGATTGACACATGTCATCGGTTCCCATTTGCGCAGATCGATGCTCATGCTGTTGATCACTGGATTGTCTGGTCCAGACTTGATTACTTACAGACCGCCGCCATATAGCTGGATTGTTGCTGAGTGTGGTGTAAAACTCAGCTCTCTCACTCACTCACTAGTACTGCACACAATATCTCGTGATGCATCCCTGAGACAAATAATTTCTTGGTGAAAAATTTAATAGATCCATACCTATATACATCGTCGTGACAGCGTGTGCCGTATACCCTTTATGGAGGTAGGAATCAATAGTAACAATAATAATACGTTCTTGATTCATGATTCCTGCATTTAATCAATAACAAAATTTCTGTTACAATACTTGTGATCGAAACCTTCTTAAAGCTGCATTACTCACAGGTACTTACGTACAGTGTTGTTATACCTGTCAAAGTTCTTTGAGGTATGCTTGCTGTCAAATATACTGAGTCAAAAAAGAAACCTCACATTCTTTCTTCAGTGCACTATAAAAGGACAAGAGATGGTAAGATGGTTAAATTGTTATTATTTCATTGCTGAGATCTGTGTGATATACTCGATACACTGACAGTGCCATAATCAGTTCCATTAGGCTACACCGCCGTTCCAAAACATGGGTATACAGAATGTCAAGTCACAAGACTAAAAATGCGAAATTTTTCAGTTCAATATCGTGTATGGCCGCCCCGCGCATTCACCACTGCCAAACACCGTCTCCTCATCGACTGCCTGATGCTTGTGAACACGTGGTTGGGGATTCTGCGCCATTGCTCTTGCAAGGCAGCGCCAAGTTCCTGCAAATTCTGAGGTTGGTTCCTAAGACCACGAAGCCTTCTTCCAAGTGCATCCCAAACGTGCTCTATTGGATTAAGGTCAGGGGACCTCGATGGCCAGTCAAATGACGTTGATTCCAGTGTTTTGAAGGAAATTTCGTGTCAACATCGCGGTATGCGGCCCAGCATTATCATGCTGGAACTGTAGACCTGGGCCATGAGCCGCCATGAAAGGAACGAGTTCAGGGGTGAGCACCTGGTCGCGGTAAGCAGGAGCTGTGAGGTTTCCACGGATGACCAGAAGTCGGGAACGGTTGTTCCCACAGAAAGCACCCCACACCATGCAACTTCCGCCCCCGAATATGTAGACTTCCTGTACACAACATTGGGCATACCGTTCACGACGTCGTCTCCAGACCGCGAATTTTAGGGTAAACCTGGATTCATCGCTAAAGACGACTCGATTCCAGTCTCTCTGGGTCCATCGGAGGTGACGTTGGGCCCACAGCAGACGTTGACGTTGATGAAACGGCGTCAATATTGGCCCACGATATGGACGTCGAGAATGGAGATTGGCAGCCTGCAACCAATTTCGAATGGTCTGTGAGGACAGTCGACCTCTAAACATCTCAGCCCTGGTTCGTGTAGCCGGCAGAAATCTGTCACGTAGGTGACGTAGGACGATTTGACGGTCTTCTGCCCGTGACGTCACACGTGGACGACCCGACCTTGGGCGATCAGAAGTGGTGCCAGTTTGTTGTAGATGACCTCGCAAGTCATACATTGTACGACGGCTGCATACCATTGCTCTTGCGACGTCAATAACTGATCTTCCCGCTTGCAACATGCCAACGGCACATTCACGTTGCACATTTGACAATCTTGGCATTTCAAGTACCGTTAGAACTGTGGTTTAAAACTGTGTTTTTTTCAATTCTTGAGGCCAATGCAAACACGTGCATATGAAGAAAACTTCGATGCGAAGATCACGTGATCGACTGCACGTGCAAAACCTGATTTGGCACTAACGTCATTTGCACGATGAAAGGATGGGTTTGAGTGGGTTTTGCTAACGTTTTTCTAGAGTCGAAAGATAGGGATCCCATTTCGGATACATAGATGTATCATCAGAGAAAAATTATTAATTATTTTTCAAATTACATTTTGTGAAGTTTCTGTTTTGACTCAGTATATATTGATTTATTTTAAGCAACGCTGCAGGCTATCTGGAGGTCTGGAGACATATCAATCCATTTACTCCTTGAACAGATACCTCCCATCTTTTCTCTATTTCCACTACCTTATGGATAATTGGAGAATATAACCATGCTAATTACAACTTCGCACACCCATCGTACATACAGTGTAACTGGATTAGCCTTTTTCATATTCCATAAAATCAAGCAGATTTTCAACATCATAAATACATGTTGATCAGTTTACAGTGCAGTATAAACACTATAGAAAATTAACCATGATTAAATATAGTGATTAGGATGTAGTAGTGTAGCACTTCCCCAATAAGGAGAACAAGATATCAAGAAGACGCCATCTCCATTTGATGTGTGTTTACGGAAAGGGTGCACATTGCTCTGTCTTTTTCCTCGCCTTCCTACCTTGTTTATCAGATCAATATTTAAAGCATCACACAGAGCTTCATGAAAAAGAAAGAGTTTACTTTCATCTTGAAGATGTAGTGAGTGGGTGAGTTTAGTTTAACGAGCACCGATCTGCACAATTGGGAAGCGAAGACATGTGTCAACCAAGTCAGCGAGCCTGACCCCCCGATCCCGTTATTCGCCTCCTACGACAAGCATAGTCGCCTTTTGTGACAAGCATGGGTTGCTGAAGACCTATTCTACCCCTCGTATTTACAATATAAAACAATACACAAGCCAATAAAACAAAATACCCTTTACGAGCCACTCATTAAGGGTTACGAGAGACTATATGTACAGTGTGAAATATAGATTAATTAATATATGGTACTAAAAAGCAATAATGGTTAAATATACACTACACATTCTCTGCACTCCTCCTTCGTAACAAATAGTGAACTGTGTCAATATTTTGGTAAACAACTTTTTTATTTTTAAGACATAAAATCTGCAAAAACCTCACAGAGTTGGTAGGATGTTTTGATTATGATTAGTATTTTATGTTTATTAGTTTTCGAGTTAGATTGCAATTCATCGATCCGCTTTTGAGCCAAACGGACTACACCATTGAGTGAGTGAGGCTGTTACTATTGATGAGTGTGGCGTAACAACTAATATGTTGTTTAAAATCTAAATGATTGTACCATGTGGTGAAACGAACTCGGGTCTTCGGCGTGACGAGCGAACGCTTTAACCACAAGGCTACCCAACTGCCACTCAAGACGGCATATAGACCACAAGACTTCTCCACGTCTACACCGAGTATAGTTATAACTAAAACTCCAAAGGACAACTAATTATACGACTAACGGGATCGGGTGGTCAGGCTTGCTGACTTGGTTGACATATGTCATCGGTTTCCCATTGCGCAGATCGATGCTCATGCTGTTGATCACTGGATTGTCTGGTCCAGACTCGATTATTTACAGACATATGCCATATAGCTGGAATATTGCTGAGTGCGGCGTAAAACGAAACTCACTCACTCACTAATTATAGTTGGTTATAACCATTGTGACTTTAGTAAAACTTGAAGTGGCCGGGACTAAAACTGCAGTTAGTATATCTACCAGGTCTTTATAAGCGGGTACCTTCAGTTGTTGGCAATCTATAGCCTGTTTTGTCATTGTCGTGTCATGTCTAGTTACAATGGTTTAGATTTAATTACTAGTTTTAAATGGATATCTGCGATACTTTAGTAGTTTTACTGTTCTTCGTCAACAAGCATTTAATTTCTAATTTTATTGATCTGTAATATACTTATTAATTGTTTTCGTCACGATATAGCTGAAATATTGCCAATGTGACGATAATATTAACTCACTCACACACTCATTATAAGCGGGTTCGTTCTAAACGCAGTTTAGCGTATTTTCTTATTTGTGTCTGATTTGTTTTCAAAGAAAATCACCTACGGCGACTGGCTGCCTATTATCATTGGGGATCAAATGGACTCGTACGGCTTGAGCCTCCTCCCTGCAGGATACTCCAACGACTACGATACCACAACCGATCCCAGCATCAGAAACGCCTTCGCAGCAGCAGCCTTACGGATGGGTCACTCAATGGTTCGGGTATTCTTCGCAAGTTTCAGTCCAGACTATTCTGACCTTGGCCGAACACCTCTGAGGGAAGTGTTCGAAAACACTCATCTTATTATTAGCGAAGCCAATAGAACCGTCGGTGGCTTTATCAGGGGTTTGGTAACAGAATCTGTACAGTCCGTAGACCGCAAGATATCACCAGAGATAACCGACCACCTTTTCCCTGATGGACACAGGTCTATGGACCTTGCATCTCTTAACATCCAGAGAGGAAGAGATCATGGCATACCCCCTTACACTGCATACAGGAAGTTCTGTGGAAAGCCTAGTGTTACCAGTTTTGACAGTCTGATAAACACGACCCATTCTGCCGCCACAGTTAACAAGTTCAAGATTGCATACGAGTAAGAAACGTTTTAATTTTGGGTTCTCGATAATATACAGAAGTAAAATGATTTTCCAGCCATATCACGACGACCTGTAAATAATTATAGCCAAAAACCATTGCGTCGAAGCTGAAGAGACCAATTTAAGTATTTCGAGGTGTCCGGTGTTCGACACAACCCGAACAACCAAAAGGTCGACATGCCGGTGTTTCGCTGCATGTCAAACCAGTCCCTAAAGCATCATAAGCATATTACCTCGCTATTGAAACAGTAAAAACGGCAACGAAAGAATGTGAAACTCCAACATTCATATATCAGTGAACTTTGACCTCTACTGCGCATGCGCATTACGATCCGCGTTTCTTTCAAATTTCCGAGCAATTACTTAAAAAGGGAATGTAACTTTTGTCCAAGCTGGAAAATGTCAACATGCGGTCGAGACTTCCTCTTCCATGTGCGCATGCGCAAAATCGAAGTTGTAGGCTCTTCGTTTTTTTATCAAGTTTTAGCGATTTAAATTTGCCGTTTTTACTGTTTCAGTAGCGAGGTATTACGTTTATGTTGCTATTTCCACGATTAATGTTGGCTTTCTGCGTTTGTCTGCACAGTGGGAAAGTTTCTTTGGTAGGCCTGAGCAGGAACTGAATCTCTGTGTCAGCTAATCAGCCAAGACACAACCTGGTCGAAGTAAGCCAACAAGTGCCTGGCTTACATAAGATTAGGGACACGGTTGGTCGAGTCGTCTAAACGCAGAGTTGCGGCCCTTCGCCGCTCAAGAAACCAATGATTGTGGGTTGACGGTTTGCCCCAATTATGTTTCAAGGTTTGTCGGCGTCGTTTCCCTGTCTTTTTGAAATCCGCCAAGGGGAAAATCTCCCCCCAGTGCCATTCTCAATATTTTTGAACGATTTGGAACCGTTTTTACTTTCTCAAAATTGTGTTTCTGTTGAGTCTGTCACACGACGGACTGTTAGATATGGCCATCGTATTATCTGCGCTTCTTTATGCCGACTGCACAGTATTATAAGCATTTAACCTTCAAAATTTGAAAATGATGTGTGACGCATTTACCCTTTACTGTAAAACATGGAGATTAGCCATCAACTCTAACAAAACAAAATTTTAGTTTTTGGCGGTACAAAAAGAGATATGATTAAATAGACACTTATAAATGGTATACCCATCGAAAATGTCAAAGATTATAAGTATCTTGGAATCCATTTTACAAACAATATTTCTTTTAAAACCTCTATAAAATCCCTTTGCGAATCTGCTACCAGAGCAATATATTTCGTTCTGCGGAAATGTCGCGTATTTAACCTATCAAAAAAAATGTCGGCTATATCTCTTTGATGTCATGGTTAAGCCAATTCTTGTATACGGCTGCGAAATCTGGGGTTTTGAAAACTGTTAATCTAACTTTTTAACCCTAATTAACTCTATCAAATGTCGTGTGGTATGTTTCTGGGCTAGTCTCTTATCTGGTAAAGAACAAAAGCTGTAAAGAAGTTTATACCAAATGTTATATAATGAAGCCTCTATAAACAATAGCAACCAAAAATGGATAAAATCCGTGGAAGCCGTTTTTAATGAAACTGGCTATAGCTTCTACTGGCTAAGTCAACAAGCTGTCTCTCACAATGAAATTAAAACTATTATCTCATTACTGTTACATGATATAGCAGGGGCGGTGGGGTAGCCTAGTGGTTAAAGCATTGGCTCGTCACGCCGAAGACCCGGGTTCGAATCCCCACATGGGTACAATGTGTGAAGCCCATTTCTGGTGTCTCCCGCCGTGATGTTGCTGGAATATTGCTAAAAGCGGCGTAAAACCAAATTCAGTCAGTCAGTCAGTCAGTGATATAGCAACCCGAACATGGTGCGTAGAGATTTCGAATTCTTCTAAGGGTATTTGAAAAATATCTCAGACATATCCCTTTCTCCTTGGTTCTTAAATTTCTCTTGTTTAGTACTTCCTGTCATCGTTTACCTATAGAAGTAGGCAGGTGGCACAAAATTCCACTCGAAGAAAGAATGTGTAACCTCTGCGACACGTGTGATGTTGGCGATGAATTTCCCTGCAATTTTCTCTGCCTTTTCTTCAAACACCATCGGAAAACTTATATCCAAAGCCATTGTGTTAAAAAACCCAATGTTTTAAGATTTAACGAATTGTTTAACTGTAAATGAATTAGTGTTTTAAAAAACTGTGTATATTTGGTAGTACGATCATGCAAACTGTACAGTCTTCCATGTAAACCAACCCGCCATACCATGTATTCTCTACTGTATATTTGTACCTATTTGCCGAGTATATATCCTAGGCCTGAGTGTAACAAAAGTTCTGTCCTGTTCTGTACCTGTGATCGTGGCTTTCACCAACGCTGTGACCGTCTCAGATTTGTATGCCTCGCACGCTAAGTAGACAGGCCATGGGACAATGTAATATTGAGTCTTTGAGTGGTATTTAGAAGTGATACACATAAAGGCAGGAATTTTATAGATGTCGACTTCTTTATTGTGATGAACACGACGTTTCGAAGTGTATTCCTGATCTATCACAATAAAGAAGTCGACATCTATATGATTCTTGCCTTTAATGGAATATTGTACAAAGTGGGGTTAAACCAAACGCACTCACTCATTCGCTCCGAATCAACTATTTACAGACCATGATATAATACGGGTAGCGTTACCCAATTTGGTGCTTCGTGAAACACATAAAAAATGATGCCCTAACTTCATCTGAGAGCACTGTATTGTTAATCATCATATCTCATTACCAACTATTTTTCAGCGACGTGAACGACATCGACCTATGGTCAGGGGGTGTAAGTGAAGAGCCTGTACCTGGGGGGATTCTCGGACCAACGTTAGCCTGCCTTCTGGGGAAACAGTTCCAGGCTTTCAAGACAGGAGACAGATTCTGGTTTGAGGGAGATGACTACTTCACTAAGTTCTCTCCCGGTTAGATTATACCAAATTTTTTTCTGTTATTTTCCGGAATATATAAACCCTGGGGCAAGGGAAATACACATTGACGTTCGATAGAATCTAAAACGAGATGGCGATTAGGGCTGGGACGGGTAACCCGGATACCCGGGACGGGTGGGTAATGAGTTGGACCCGGGTACCCGTCTCACTACCCGGACCCGTTACGTTCATGTGACTGAGAGAGTAAACAATGTAATATGTTATTCTTTCATGATTAAAAGTTGTATTGTCTTTGAAGATTTAGTCATAATTACAGTCACTTCTTTTGAATATAATACATGGTTAAGATAGTAGAGAACTCGAACTTTTCGTCTCCGAACTAAAACATCTATTGCGCTTTCTTACAAATTTGATGTCAGGAATTAACATAACGGGTATCCGGGTAGGGTAGTAGGGGGTGGGGTACCCGGGTAGAAAATATGGACCCGTCCCAGCCCTAATGGCGATCCATTCCATCCGAGTATCATAGATATGTTACTAGTAGTGAATGACTTTATTGGGTAATACAATAAGGCTCTATGACGGGAGCGACTGTCGAACATTCAACATTAAAATGAATGTAAGTCACAGTCTTCATGGCGTGTTTTTCAGTGCAATAACTATGTGTTACGCAAACGTAAGGAATATATGCAGTAGTTTGCCATAAGTGAGTCACCATTAGTGAAATTTCCAAAGACTAACATTAATTAATTGTTGCAGAGAATAATTTTCATAAATTGAGTAGAAGTCATTAGGGCCCCTTGCCTCTAGTCAGGAGACCTATTGTAATCGTTCGGATTATTATTATTATTTATTATTCCGCCGATTTTTGTACCAAACGTACCTACTAAACCAATGCTCCGAATCGCTTACAATAAATCACACAGATGCCCACCGAGGTGAAGATATTGCCCTTAAAAATCTCTAGGCTCTAGGTCCAATAGCAAAGGGAAGATCATTCAAAATTAATTCCAAACTTTCAAAGTATGAAAGCAAATATCTCAAGAAATAATTGTTCCAACACTTCCAAATCTCTTGTACAGATGCACAATCGAATTCCCAACAATTTCGCCTGGACGGTCAAGTCGCTAGAACGTACCGTTTGGCAGTTATTTTTGTTTTCAGTTTTTGGCCATGTTTTTCAGCACTTTTCTAAGTAGTTTGCTCCCAAAATGTGCTGAGCTCCAACCATCAGCTCTAGACATTCCAAACTTTCCATAACTGATGTCCAGTAACCATTGTGCAAATTCTGCACAAAAAGTGCCAGTATGGTACATGAAGTATTGGTGATTCCAGAACAATTATTTGTTTTAACCGTAGACCCAAGAACAACTGAGATACAGCCTTTTAAAGAGGGAACAATTTCTTCTCCGGAACTTCTCCCCCGCGACCCCGGCTGTATTTGGAAGATCCGCTCGCCTGTCAAAAACGTGTTCTGGACGATGATTTCTTGCCCTCAAATACAATAGATAGAACTAAAGCCAAGGAGCCCGCTTCGTTGCTTGCTACTATATTTTTATTTTGATATTTTGCAAACATCCTGAAATCATTTTGCATTTTTTTTGATAGGTTAAATATTTCATCTTTCCGTTGATTAGTTATCGAATGACACCTGATTAAGCACCATATATAAGTACAACTTTTAATCTATCCCATAGACAGCCATGTTAAACCTGATTGGTATGTCTAATATATGTTGTTTAAATAGGTGCAGTTTTCTCAATAATCATCGGGAAGTGGAATAGAATGTATATGTAGCTGAGATGATTTCCCAGCTGGTAGATAAGTATTAAAAGCAATTCGACCGAATCTAAATTTATGAAAAATTTTCTTGCAAGATTTAATTAACAGGCAAGTCTATGGGAATTTCACTAATGATGACACACTTATGTCCAACTACTGTATTTTCTGACTACAGTAAATTGTGCTACATTGTCCGGGGAGAGTTGAACGTGTGTAACTTTGGATAATGATAGAAATATTTTGGTAACATGGTTTTCCTCAGATTTTCGTGAAAAGGGCATTCCCTACATAAATGATATTCTGACTCAATAGTTGGAGTAATACAAAGAGGACACGGTCTCGCTTCACGTCTAATACCCAGTTGTCTCCCTTTCTCCATCATTAGACTATTGCTGGAGTGAGTGAGTGAGTATAGTTTTTACGCCGCTTTTAGCAATATTCCAGCAACATCACGGCGGGGGACACCAGAAATGGGCTTCACACAATGTACCCATGTGGGGATTCGAACCCGGGACTTCGGCGTGACGATCCAACGCTTTAACCACTAGACTACCCCACCGCCCCAGACTATTGCTGGAGCATCTCACGAAAGTCATGATCAATCTATACACTTTAGCAGTTATTTGGGACAGATAGGTTTGTTATTGGACCATGCGTTGGCATGATTCGGAGACCGTTCAGCCCAGTAAAGTTTTGATAACTAGATGCTTGATTGGCATTTTAGAAGATGATATTTGATGAACATAGAGATTTTTCTGGGTTACATCTTCTTTTTATTCTCGAGTACAACGTTTCAGGGCTTGTTCTGGCCCCATCATCAGGTAAACTGAACAGTAACGGTTAACTCTGGCCGTGACGTCACAATGCTTATGACGTCACAAGGCTATGACGACACAAATTGATCCATTAATTTTGCAGTAAATGACATCTTATATATTCATAATAACATGTATTCTATTAGCCATGTCATCTGCATCTATTGACCACCACATGTATTGCGTCGTCATAGCATTGTGACGTCAAAAGCATTGTGACGTCACGGCCAGAGTTAACAGTTACTGTTCAGTTTACCTGATGATGGGGCCAGAACAGGCCCTGAAACGTTGTACTCGAGAATAAAAAGAAGACGTAACCCAGAAAAATCTCTAAGTTCAGTTTTGATAACGTTTGTAATTTCTTGTTAAAATCCATTTTTAAGTATATATAATGCTGCGGGTGTATGTAAGCATTTCATGACATTTCATGAATTCCATAGCCAACTAAAGACCGGTCAATGTGTTTGCTTCCCTGGTCGTCGACCGTGAACTATTATTATGAGCATGGGATATTATGTTTATTATCAGTTCCCGAAACTGCTGGAACAAAATAATCATGTCACTGGAATACCACCTCCCGCTCATCATGCGCTCGGGGCGGTGGGGTAGCCTAGTGGTTAAAGCGTTGGCTCGTCACGCCGAAGACCCGGGTTCGAATCCCCACATGAGTACAATGTGTGAAGCCCATTTCTGGTGTCCCCCGCCGTGATGTTGCTGGAATATTGCTAAAAGCGGCGTAAAACCAAACTCAGTCAGTCAGTCAGTCGTCATGCGCTCACGATTGGTTTCCATTATTTAAAATCCGTCAATACAGGCCAAACTAAAGGCTTAATACCAAACTGTTTCCTGGATCTTCGGCTTCACGAACCAATGCATTTACCCTGGTACCAAGCCATTGTCTTCCTGGAAATCGTGAGATCGAGCAAGTCTCATTTTACAGGCACGTACACAAGGGGCATAAGGAGCACACTCGTCCAGGGTTCCGCATTTCTTCAACTTCGCTTGTTGCCTCCTCTTGTGTTACCCATAGCGCCATCATGTGTCATAAAGTCATTTGAAACGTATGCATAGGCGGATCTAGATGGGGATGGGGTGGGTGGGGTGTGTGCAGGGGTGCGCATCACCCGTTTTGTCCTGAAAGTTTATCAAATGACCATTGAAACTCGTGAATATGAAGCACTTACTCAAGAGTGTGCAAAACCAAACACCCACACCCACACCCACACCCACACCCACACCCACCCCACACACACCCTTTCTCAAAAAGCTATATCCGCCCCTGGTATGCTGTAAGATCATAAGCTACGAAAACCTTATGGAATTTAATTGAGAAGAATCACTAAACGAATTACTTCAGACATTGTTACAGTGTAATGTGTTAAAGTAAGGCAATCTATTTTACAGCCCAGTTGGCACAAATCCGCAAGGCAAGTTTGTCTCGTATCATCTGTGACAACACCGACACTGTCACCATACAGGAGAATGCGTTCAGCAAGGGCGACAAGTAAGTTATCCCAACTTATATTATTGTGTCTTACTCAACTCATGATCTATTTCAAAAGGGAGCTGTAGGGTTGAAAAAAAAAGACATGTCGGTTGGGAGAAAATGTTGTCTGTTGTTTAAGATAAACTCTTCAAAAAAGAAACGCACATTCGTTTACAGCAGTTCATTTCGATATATTTTGACAGCAATCGTCATTAAGACAATTCCTTTGTTTGAATCCCGTTCATCATGTCGAATAGTTTCTGTAATTTTAGTTATGGTGTTCCCTTTAGTTTGATTTTATTTTATAAACCCGAAAAATTGATAAATAATGAAAAATGTTTAAGGTAACGACAACAAATCGAAATTTCATAAACATAAACAAATAATTGCAATATCGAAATTTTCTATTTTGGATATACCAAAGTTGCACCATTAACATTAGTACAATAGGCAAATATAAAATACGAATAGAAATCTATTACGAATAGAAACATATATCCGCTTTACATATCATCATCATAAAGAAATTCCTTCCGAAAACGGAAATTGCATCTTTCCTTATTTGTTGCTGAAATTATTGGTTTTCCGTGTATATATAGGTATATAGGTATGCGTTCGCTTTATCTGAATGCTTTGTTTTGGATGTACTGTGTGCTGACTATTTCCAGCATGGTTTATGGTTGATACTATCAGTGACCTTGCCTAAATTGATAACTGCGTGCGTCTGTATGTATGTATGTATGCATGTATGTAAGTATGTGTGTAAGTATGTATGTATGTATGTATGTATGTATGTATGTATGTATGTATGTATGTATGTATGTATGTATGTATGTATGTATGTATGTATGTATGTATGTATGTATGTATGTATGTATGTATGTATGTATGTATGTATGTATGTTGTGTGTGTGTGTGTGTGTATGGTATGTATGTATATATATGTGTGTGTGTGCACACGTATATATATATACGCACACACACACACACACACACACACATATATATATATTAATACTTTTATATTGATCAGGGCCCGCATTACACTGGCTTTTGTTTGTTCTTTAACGCCGCACTCAGCAATATTCCAGCTATATGACGGCTGTCTGTAAATAATCGAGTCTGGACCAGACATTCCAGTGATCAACAGCATGAGCATCAATCCGCTGATCCGACAGTGACAACGATCTAGGCAATTGGGATACGATGATATGCGTTAACCAAGTCAGCGAGCCTGACCACCCGATCCCGTTAGTCGCCTTTCACGACAAGCATGGGTTAATGAAGGCCACTTCTAACCCATATCTTCACGGGTATCTGAATCCTTACAGAGGAAACTAGTTGTGTAACTGATGATATATTTGAGATACGCTTTCTATACGCTACAGATCCAAGTACTTCTTTGAGTCGGACCGCCTCCGTGGTGTAGTGGTTAGAGCGTCCGCCCGGAGAGCGGAAGGTCGCGGGTTCGATCCCCGGCCGCGTCATACCAAAAGACGTTAAAATATGGTACTTGTTGGTCCCTGCTTGGCGCTCGGCATTAATGGGTACAACAAGAACTGGTCGGCTCGGAGTCAGTATAATGTGTCTGAGTTGGGTATTTATGCTTCACTGCGGCATGGTATCTCAGTGGGCTAGCACTATAAAACCAGCTTCAGTCTTGGCTAGTACAAGCAGCCGCACATACACATGTATACACACGCATGCACGTCGTCATATGAGCGAAATATTCTCAAGCACAACGTTAAACCAAATTTCACCTCGCCTCACCTCTTTGAGTCCGGATCACATACTTTGTGTAACCGTATGGGACGGTTTAAGACTACTTGCTAAATAATTATTCTGCCTTTCAGAGTAGACTGTAGCTCACTGGACACGGTGGACCTGACCGCATGGAAGCAGGAGTCGGGGTCGTGGAGTGGTTGGAATGAATGGGGACCTTGTAACAAGCATGTCCAGACGCGGACACGGTCATGTGAGCCCTGCAAGTGTGGTTGGGAGGGTCCAAATGTTGACTCTCGTTCCTGTTGATTGTCGTTACAAGTCACTAGTACCAATCCATTCATGTTGCATCCAGACCTTATGTTTCCAACGACATACAAGAAATAAACGTATCTAACGACATGCAGATTGTTGGGTCTCTTGTAACATACACACTTAAGTATAATTAATATAATTCCTCTGTGAATACCCAAAGCCATTTAGAACGTGGTCAAATGTAACACATGTTATATTACTCACTTCCAATATTGAAGGGTCAAGTTTCCTTAAGGCTGCTAACAGACACGTTGTATGAATGAACAACCCCTTTCAACTTAAATAACATCTTTAATGTATGGAAAACCTGTTTAAAGCAATATTCTTTACATTAAATGAAGGATTTTACAGAGCATTAAAGAGAGGCACCCTTAGAAATCAGAATAGCAAATCATAGAGCCTGAAGATGATCAGTATCTTGTGCAGCTACCCCTTTGGTCAATGACACTGTTTCACCGTGACATCATGCTTCGTATCAAGTTCATGAAAAAGGCTTGTGGAATCTGCTGCCATCCATGGATTAAGAGTCGTTGGAGCTCCTGGACAGTCCGTGGTTGATGATGTCGCCTGTACACTCTCCTACCCACACTCGTCCCATGCATGTTCTATTGGATTGAGGTCAGGAGAACATGCTGGCCAGTCCATGTGGTCAACATCTTGCTGTTGCAGATAAGCAGTGACTATTCTTGCCCGGTGTGGTCTTGCATTATCATCCTGCCAAATGGGAATACGGCCGTAAAACCCATGCATATCCTGGAGGTATGCTACTGCGATGACACTCAAAATCTCATCACGATATCGCTGACCACTGAGATTACCATTGATGACGTAAAGGTCAGTGCGTCCAGTTGCTGAAATTCTCGACCTAAACCATTACGGAGCCTCCACCAAATCGGTTGTGGGTAGCAATAGTTGCATCTGTGACACGTTCACCTCGACAACGGAAAACCCTTCGACGACCATCATTAAAGCACAGATTAAACCTGCTTTCATCTGTAAACAACACGGCTGACTACTGGCGTTGATTCCCCCGAGAATGACGCCTAGACCATGACATACGGGCCTTGTCGGTCACGTCGTGTCAGTGGTGGACGAACAGCAGGTCGACGTGAACGAAGCCCTGCAGCATGCAGCATGATCCTGACGTTGTTGACATTCAAGTGTTCAGCTTGGAGATCCACTGTTGTCAAGAATCTGTTACGTAGGGCGACATTTATCAAGTGTCTATCCTGCCTCGCTGTAGTCACCCTTGGTCTGCCAAGTCTTCGTGCATATTCAACTGTTCCTGTGGCCTGGAACCTCTGCCACAGTCTCACTATCACGCTTTGACTCACGTTGAAGTGATTATCAGTTGCCCGCTGCGTCCATCCGGCTTGCATCAGCCCAACTGCCTGACCTCTTTCTGCTAACGTCAGAAAACGCCTCATGTTTTACGTCTCGCAACGTCGTAGGTCTGTGACCAAACACATCAGTAACTGGTTCCTTTTATGAAAATCTGACGACACTTTTCACGTGCAAAACATGGAATGGTGTTGTGTTTGGGCTAATGATGTTATGGCGTTTTTGCAAACAATGTTTTTTCCCGTTTTAATGTCAAACTGTAAACATTTATCCTAACCTTAATTGAGTAAACATTTCAAAATCTTTTGTCTGTGTGTTTGGTGAACAATTGTTTACATGAATAAAAAAGAAATGTATCGTTATCGTCAAAAAATGACGACATTTTAACATATATTCCTAAATATTGCTATATAGAACCTTGACCCTTCAATAATGGAAACTAGTAATATATTTGGGTTGACACTGTCTCAGTAAAGTACAGATTCTAGTACTTTTGTTGGGTTGAGTCTCATATGAGATTCCAACCTACGCGCTCAGAGGCAGGCATGTAATCGTCTACACACAGAGCCAGCCGTCCAATCCACTCAGCCACCGCTGCTTCCACAAAAATGGAAGTAGGGCAACTGGTAGTCCAGACCTCGAATTTTGTGTACCCCTGTGATGAGTGTAAATTCACGGCCGAAAGCTATGAATACACAATGCCATTTAGAAAGGGGTCAAATGTAACACGTTATATTTAGGATTACACTTTCTCAGTAAAGTACAGATTCTAGTACTTTTGTTGGGTTGAGTCCCATCTGGGATTCGAACCCACATCCTCAGTCAGGCACCTAATCGCCAGCACACAAAGTGAATTTGACATGAGGTTAGGTGAGGTGAAATTGGGTCTTACGTCGTGCTTGAGAATATTTCGCTCATATGACGACGTGCATGCGTGTGTATGTGTATGTGCGGCTGCTTGTACTAGGCCAGACTTAAGCTGGTTTTATAGTGCTAGCCCACTGAGATACCATGCCGCAGTGAAGCATGAATACCCCACTCAGACACATTATACTGACTCCGAGCCGACCAGACCTTGTTGTACCCATTAATGCCGAGCGTCAGGCAGGGACCAACAAGTACCATGTTTTAACGTCTTTTGGTATGACGCGGTCGGGGATCGAACCCGCGACCTTCCACTCTCCGGGCGGACGCTCTAACCACCACAACACGAATTTGACATGAAATGATCGGGCATGTAGTTGTGAGATAATCATGTTACCATTAGTCAGTGACATAATTCCACAACTTAGTTTACCCGTGACGATTGTACATTAAACATTGACATTTAAAAAGTAGATAATGATCTTAAAACTGTGGCGTTGTTCTGCACAAGAACGCCAAAAGGATGTACTCCAACTTGGCTACCTGTGAAGATCCGGAGTAGAATTGATCTTCAGTAACCCATGCTTGTCGTAAAAGGGGGCTAACGGGATCGGGTGGTCGGGCTAGCTGACTTGGTTGACACATGTTATTGTATCCCAGTTGCGTATCCCAAGATTCGGAAGAAAGCTCGGAGTGATGCAGGAGTAGGGGTAGGTGCTGACAAACATACAACAACCATGGCGTTCAGAACTAGACAAAGGGACGCAACTCCGCACTAGTAACTCAAACATCTTGGCAACATGAGAGTCCACATTGTATTTGACATCATGCAGGCACATGTGCTCCCACGTTGTGTTCACTCGCACACGCACACAATCACACCAGCACGCACACGTACGCTCACACAAACACACATTTATACGTGCGTGTGTGTGTGTGTGTGTGTGTGTGTGTGTGTGTGTGTGTGTGTGTGTGTGTGTGTAAGTATATATGTATATATACGTTATTTTCCATTAAATATTTTCAATCATTATATGTGTACTTTACTTCCAATTCACGTCAACAGGCACGTCAGCCCATATTGTAGTTCGCATAATACAGTTTTACATTGTATACTATTTGAAATAAGGCACATGTGGGGAAATAGGTTCTGTACATGTAACGTTCACGGCGCCCTGAAATACAATCGCGTAAAGAGGCATGCACACGCATCGCACGCACGCACGCACGCACGCACGCACGCACGCACACACACATATTTTTATTTATTTATTTATTCATATGAGTCTCAGTCATCTGTTTACTTTACTTCTAATTCATGAAAACATGTCATGACAACTTAACTCGATAGAATGATGCATATTTGCTGTTTAAGTATTTATTCATTTATTATGTTATTAAGTAATATGTTTCATGAAATATATATAAAAAAACATCAAATGACTCCAGTTCAACCGATTTCTTGATCTATATGTAGTTCATGTGATCCAGTATTTAAGGATATATCATGTAGTTACAAGTAGAGTATCATGGTAGTCCTTGGTTAAATTAATGCTCCGTTTGGTGTTTTTGAAAAGTTATGAGTCAACCGGAAGTTAAGACGTTGGGGCAATACAACACAAGAAGGCATACAGACAGATGCAGTCGTAAAATACATATTTAGTTTTATTGTACACAATCCCAGTGTTATTTCTCCATGAATGTTTGGGGTTTTTTAAACAGACAAGTGTCAAATACAAAGTGTGCATGTAACGAGTGTGTGGATGGGTTATGTGTGACGCGGCATTGAACAGCATTCAAGATATATCACGGCGTTTCAGCTTAAGGCGAGACTAAAGCCCGAAGTGATGCAGGTTCCAGAGGTTTGATGAGCGGTTGGGTGGCCAAGTGGTTAAAGCGTTCGCTCGTCAGGCCGAATACCGGGTTCGATACCCCGGGTACAGTGTATGAAACCCATTTCCGGTGTTTGCTGTCGTGATATTGTTGGAATATTGCAAAAAGCGTCGTAAAATCTTTATTCACACCAGCTTTCATCCGAAGAATATGAATTGTTCTGCTGGGCCAGAATATCATTAAATTCGGTTTCCAGCTGGTCTTAAGAGGCGATCCAGCTGGTCATGTGATCAGGGTCGGTGATGGGCTGACAGCTCGTGGATGGATGGTCCGTTGCAATATTACTACTTTGTGGAAAAGGCAGGCAGGGCATGTTTACCCTTTTCGCGAACACCGAGTGTCATCATAGCATAATTCATAGAGTGTTCACACTTATTAGGCCTTTTTACCCAATGACGTCACAATGATGTACCTAATTTCTGAGGTCAATCCAGATTCGATAATCTTTTCCAGGAACTTAATATATTCACAATATTGTGGCTTCAGCAATGTTTATTTCAGAAAGAAATGGGATTGGTCAACAGGAACATAGGCTCTGTGTAAAGGCCTCTCCCTATTAAAACACAACCATAAACAAGACTGAATATTATTAAAAGTTACAAATAAAAGAAAGCACGGGATTGAAGTCATTGTTATAATTGCAATATATCAAAGTAGTCTAGCAAAATGTTTTTGTAAAGGTAATACAGTTATGTACAGATCAATCAATTTTTAATGTCATCTTGTAGATACGCATTTCTAAACAACGCCGTTAAGATATCAAATGAGTAGATGAGGCCGGAGTAAACTGTATTTTCAATGTTGTCGGGTCGAAACTCGCCAATTTTGACTACCGTCATAGACCTGGCCCCGATTTCTCGAAACAAACTTAAGTCTGAGTTTTGACTTAAGTTCGAGTTTTTACTCAAATAGAGAAAATGCATTTAACAGAATGAACTGAAATCGATATTAAACTCAAACATACTAAACAATTTGAGTTTGGTGGATGGATTACTTAAGGCGTTTGGCCTTTTTATTTTAAAAATGCAGTTGAGTTAAAAATTCAGTTATTTCAAATTGTCAAACTCAGTTTGAAATTTGAGTAAAAACTTAAGTTTGTTTCGAGAAATCGGAGCCTGGTGAACTTCTTGGTGTAGCGTTGAACAATCAATACACAAATATCTGATGGACAATACGGTCAGTGTGAGACACTACCTTAACCTTATCCTGTTCAGGCTAAAATATATTTATCATCCAAAACTGGCTCCAACAGCAGATATCGCTTGTGTGAGATCAAGCGAGATCTACAACTACTGAACTGTCATAATGATATTTCATCATCAGTTAATGACCTCACAATGCTTTAAAATCACTTAGAACACAGCTGACTATGATGTCATAAAGCCGATGACGTCAAATGCTATGGCGTCACTGAGAACACTGCTCAAGAAGTCTAAGGCAGGTGTTAGTTCAGATGAATTCATTCTTTTACTGATAACTGATGAAGAATGATTTTGGATGATAAATATAATATCACCCTCGTGTCCTCTGATATCCAATATATCAACACAGATATCAGACGACACTTGGGTGAGATTATCTATATATTAGTAAAGCTGTAAATACATAAACACATTTAATCACAGTTATTTTAATAAGCAGCTGTTATTTTAGCTGTGAGTAAGACAGGTGGTTACAATTCCCGGCCCACTGTGTTACTAATTACAACCATGGTCTGTTTTAAACATGTGCGACAGCAATGGTTCTGACTTCTGTTACCCTAGGGTTCTGTGTGAGTGCACAATATTTACAGATATGTTTTCTTTCCAAAGTTTATGTCAGTATTTACAGCAAAGCCGAACAGAAGACATCTTCAACAACCTTTATAGAATAATTCAAATTTGTGCATATGTACATATCGATAAATTGTAAATGAAACATAGCAATTTCTGTACAATATGTTTAAAACAGCAAAATTTAAATGTAACATTCAACACAAAGATACCATATCCTCTAAACAGCAAGACAATGACGTTTTGTTATTTTATGGTTTGTTGTTTTTGTTTGGGTTTTTGTTTTGTTTTATGGGTTTTGTTTGTTTGTTTGTTTTGGGGTTTTTGGGGGGGTGGTTGTTTTGTGGTTGTTTGTTTTGTTTTGTTTGTTTGGTTGGTTTTTTTTGTTTGGGGTTGGTGTTTTGGTTTTTTGTTTCTTTAGGTTGCCCTCAAGAGTATTCGAGCTAAAGTAAACTGCGTTTATTACTAACCTGCTTATAACGAACTGATGTGACGACCTATGTTTTATCCGAGCCTTTTGCTTTAAATTATAGTCTTAATGTGTGTAACGAACAATAGTTATTAAGAAGCACAATTCGTGTCACTTCGAGTTCGTTGTAGCGTAGATTACTGTACTTGACAGCGGTCTATGTCGAGTCTGACCTGGACAACCAAACCAAGCCAGTGAAGGACATCATGAGCAAAGATCTGCACAACTGGAGTACGATGACATACATCAGTCTCTGACTGATAAACACACACAGTTTTGTGAGCATAGAAGGTCGTTTTAGCCTTCTCCAAGGATGCATCTGTTACATGCCAAATGCTTCACAGAAACCTATCGGCGATTGGTACAGGAACAACTTGAATTTGTATGAAAGAGTGAATGGTATAATAGCAATAACAGCAGCCCTTCAGCAGAGATAACTTTAGGGTACATTCCATTTCTACATATTTTGGCAACCATTTGGCTACTTTTCCCGGTGATTCTTGAATGTGGATAATACCAGGACGAACATCAAGAACAGTTCCCCTTCTATCCTGTGAGTAAATCCATTATTTGATAGTTCATTATCACTGTTGAAACGTCACTATTGCCTGATTCTGGAGTTGGTCATCCGAAATTACATTGTGTTTAATTCGCCTGACTCGTATGACCTTTGTAACATCAACAGGACTTGATTCCAAAATTCAGCTTCGTTCTGACCACTCCCAGGCCAGGTTATAACGTTACATTCTTGTAGGAGACTGGAGAGAAATTCCGACATATATCTATCATCAATGTCCTCCAAAAGGACCACAACAAACGCCTCGTGGGGGTCCTCCAAGCGTTTCTGTACCAAGGACAGCTCGAACTGACATCCAGTGTCCTTACAGAAGCTGTTGGACACTACCATAAGAACCTTTCTGCATCCATTAAGATTCTTCACAATGCTGTCCATGATATGAATCTTAGGATCAAAGTCTCGTGATCGAAAACAAATTTGCAAATGACCTTTGTCCTCCAAATTGGGCAAAGCTTTAAGTCTAACCCAAACGAAGTCTTCATCCGAGTACAGAAGGTAGATGCCACGCGCCAGAAGAGGCATGGCTTCAGATGAGGAGCTATGTCTTCTCCTCTTCCAGACCAGAAAGTAGCGGATATTCCACCTCCACTTGTAGCCCAACGCAAAGCACACAATAGACATCAGCACAGCTACAACGGCACAGACCACCAGAGAGACGTACTGGCTGTCATACAGGCAAACAAATTTCGTAACAGATGGAACATCTACCAGTCTCTTCCCTTTGGTGCCTGGGGGACTAAAACAGGTATAATAGGATAAGCGACGTCTGAACAAACTCCGGGCACCGATCAGCCAATCTTTAAACCACAGTAAGTCACAGTTACAATTGAAAGAATTGTTCTCAATGTTGACATAGGTGAGACGACTCCGTATGGAGATCGGTATGAACACATAGCTGAGACTGTTGTTACTTAATGACATCTTCAGAAGGTTAACGTTGTTGATAAACACGTTGTCGCTAATGGATTTAATGTGATTATGATCTAGAAACATGCTCTCCAGTCCAGCCAGTTCTGATATGACATCCGGCACTATTTGTAAGCTGCAGTTGTTACAGTTAAGGTATTTCAATGTTTTAATTAATGGTCGCACAAGGTGCTCGAGTTTGTCTGGAGTGATATTGTTGCCGGAGAGGTCAAGGTAGTTGAGCCTGTTGCAGCCGACGAATGTCTCGTCATCGATATCAGTCTGGGCAGATGATAACTGTTTCATTACAAGCTGTTGAAGACTCGGAACTTGACGGAACGTCTCACTACCAATAATTTGAAAGGGGTTCCCTGATATTTGCAAATGGGTCAGACACATTCCGGTACACTTTGACAAACAGCCGAAACTACTCTTATTCAGATATGGAATCTGATTGTAACCAATCCGAAGGGTGGACAGGTTAGGAAAGACAGACTCATTATTGGAACAGAAATCTGGCATTAACGTGATGTTATTATGATGTATCCACAATGTAGCCAATACCTTGGAAAATACATGATTGAAAGAATCTGGGTATAGGTTAATCATGTTGTGATGTAGATTCAGGGTTGTCAATTCAGGAAACCCAGCAAAGTGGCTAAAATTGAATTTAGCCAAATTGTTTCTAGCAAGATGAATCCCTGTAATTGGGCTTCTGAGGAGACCTTCCAGTAGATTCTCCTCAAGATCCGAGTCTCTGATGCCAAGGCCATTAAGGTAGATGTGACCTAAATTAGACAACGAATGAAAAGCAACGGCCAGTGATTTCAAAATGATGGGGTTATGACCTAGGTGTAGGCTTCGTAGCTTAGTCAGTTTATTGAAAGCATGTTCAGATACATGGGATATATTGCAGTGTTGAAGATTTAGATGAAGTAGTATTAATGTTGTAAGATTATCAAAGGTATTGTCTCTGATTTGTGCAAGGAAGTTATATTGAAAGAACAAAGTTGTAATATTAAATTCGCTTCTCAATTTGGGGATATATGTCAAACGGTCGTCATTTCCGATACAATGAGCACTAGTATTATGACACCAACACAGGATTTCATAACACGGCTTTCCATAAGGGAAAGGAATCTCCTCGCAACGTATGTACAGACCGGCCAAAGAACCCACCAACATGAGTGCACGCAGTGCCATACTGACCGTGGTGCCTCTCCTTTTGCAGACAATATTGGTACAAATGATGCTTCTCTGCACAAAATCACAATCACAGAAGTGTTTCCGTGTCTTAGTTGAGTGTTGCTATGTACATGGAACTATCTCTATACCATGCTAGTTTACTGCCTGGACAAAAACTTGGGCTCCCTCAGATTGAAGACGTTGTCTTTTTTGGTAATTTTAGTTCAACAGCAGAAATATACTATGAACACTGCGCCAAACGGTATTTAAATATGCAAACCCCTGTATCTTGGATAAGATACATATCATAAAACAGAAATGATCCTTTGGGAAATCTCGCAGCTGCTGTTACTTACACAGTTGAGCTGATACCCATTACTTATTGTGAGTTACCTCCACAATTACGAAAGTGTCACCCAAAGTTTGTTACGTGTCACAAGGGTACCTCTACTGATACGTAGGTTTCACAATGGCTACGCTACCTCCAGTGACAGGTACAAACAAAGAGTCTCTAGGAAGGATTGCCGCTGCACTGCTGCTAACTCTGCAGTTATGAAGGTGTCACACTGGTTAGCTCCACCGTTACGGTGTCACACTGGTTAGCTCCACCGTTACGAAGATGTCACATCAGCTACCTGCACCGTTGCGAAGGTGTCACACTGGTTACCTCCACAGTTACGAAGGTGTCACACTGGTTAGCTCCACCGTTACGAAGATATCACATCAGCTACCTGCACCGTTGCGAAGGTGTCACACTGGTTACCTCCACAGTTACGAAGGTGTCACACTGGTTAGCTCCATAGTTACGAAGGTGTCACTCTGGTTACCTCCACAGTTACGGTGTCACTCTGGTTACCTCCACAGTTACGAAGGTGTCACACTGGTTACCTCCACCGTTACGAAGGTGTCACACTGGTTACCTCCACAGTTACGAAGGCTTCACACTGGTTACCTCCACAGTTACGAAGGCTTCACACTGGTTATCTCCACCGTTACGAAGGTGTCACACTGGTTACCTCCACAGTTACGAAGGTGTCACACTGGCTACTCCGCACTTACGAAGCTGTCACAATGGCTACCTCCACAGTTACGAAGGTGTCACACTCGTTACGTCCACAGGTACGAAGGTGTCATACTGGTTACCTCCACGGTTACGAAGGTGTCACAATGGCTACTTCCCGGTTACGAAAGTGTCACACTGGCTACCTCCACAGTTACGATGGTGTCACACTGGCTGCTCCATTGTTATGAAGGTGTCAGACTGGCTACTCAACGGTTGCGAAGGTGTCACACTGGCTACTCCACGGTTACGAAGGTGTCACACTGGTTACCTCCACAGTTACGAAGGTGTCACACTGGCTGCTCCATTGTTATGAAGGTGTCAGACTGGCTACTCAACGGTTGCGAAGGTGTCACACTGGTTACCTCCATAGTTACGAAGGTGTCACACTGGTTACCTCCACGGTTACGAAGGTGTCACACTGGCTACATCAACAGATACGAAGGTGTCACACTGGCTACTCCACAGTTACGAAGGTGTCACACTGGTTACCTCCACGGTTACGAAGGTGTCACACTGGCTACCAGAACATTCACGCAAAGTCTGAACCGGTTAACCCCCTGAAGTTTCAGTGATTTCGTACGAATCAGGAAGTGTTGTACTGATACCACAAACACAACGTAGATTACACTGAATACAACCAATCAGGCAGATTCAGCATAAGTCACCAACACTACTGCCAACAGTAAATATCACTAAGGGCAGCCATGGTAACCACAAACCTCTCACACCAACGCAACTGCCTTACAAGTTACGGTGTAGGTGCAGTATCGGTTAATTCAGCCAATTGGCTGCACTGGTTACTTGCACACTGCACACAGATCGCGCTGAATAACGCAACAGTCACTTTCCGATGTCGTTATTGTCAGGCCACTGTCTTGCACATCTCGATCCTATAACCATCGGCCCCGCACACTTCGGATTCACGCGACAAATTTTACATGGCGGGTTACAAGGAAAATGATACTTATCTTTAACGAAGTCTGACTGCCGCGATCGATAGTGTCCTTTATACAGGGAAGTATAACGCCCGCGTCTCAAAGGAAATATAAATCCTCAGTTGCTAAAATTGATTAAAAAGAATATAATGACTCGCTCATGTGTTGGCTATGCAAAAACAATAATAGCCTAAAGGAAACAATTTTAAATTCAAATCACCCGAGAAGGAAACGGAAACTAAGTTGTCGCTTCAGGCATGTTAACATTGATAACACGATCAGGATACATTAAAATCAACACCATGTTTTAAATACTGTTGCTGGGGAATTGTGGGAATGCAAACGTATCGTCGTTGTTCAGACTAAACAAGATCCCGATCCCGTGTTACGAAGCACAATCGTTCTATACCTGGTGTTGATTGTTAATAAAATGAAATACACGTTGGTTGGAATAAGTGCAATCGTTGGTTGGAGTAACTGGAATCGTTAATAAGAGAGAGTACATGTGAAGGTAAAAGACTTACAAATGCGGATTACGCGAAGGATACACTTTATAGAGGAACAACTTCGTTATTCAGGTGATGCCACATTTCGATACTGATTCTTGTATCGTTATCAAGCAGGTAAGAAACAGGTAGAAAAATAATTAACAGAAACAACAAACTTGTTCATCCATTGTTTGTACTTATCTGGCTCTCCAACTTATACAAAATGCCACCCCAGGAAGTTACACGAAATTGTTGGTAAGACGAATCGTTGGTATGAAGGCGTACAGACCTTGGTCAGACCAAGTACTGTCGACACATAAACGAAGCACAATCAGTATGAGAGATTGGGCACAGTGGAAGCACCTGCTATTGTTAGATATACGTACATTGGATAGTTGGGAGAAAACAATCGACAAGAAGACGAAGAACAATCTACATTCTCACAGAGAACTCTAGAAGAAATGATCTAGGTAAGATACACTCTTCACAAAAACAACCCGCAGAGGTGTTTTCAGCAGTTCATTTCGATATAATTTGACTGCAATCGTCATTAAGACAAGTCCTATGTTTGAATCCCGTTACTCATGTCGTGGTTGTTGTGTATTGCGCGCAAACGCATCCCAAAATGTGTTTGTAAACGTTTGTCATAAAAATGAAAACGATATAGGAAAAGTGCATGCAGAAAAGGTTTTCCACGTAGTGCACGTGCAATGTGTCGGAAACATGAGTGGAGACATCGACTATAAAAGGCCAAACCACATTCATTATTTCATTATGACATGTACGACGCAAACGAAGATACAAATTGACATGCCTGAAAGCTACAGACCGAAATATCGCCATTGGACGTTTGGAAGCAGGGGAGTCCAGTCAGTCGTTGCAAGACACTTCAACGTCCCGTTTCAATTCGACACAAGATCGTCCCAGAAGTGGAGGACCAAGAGTGGCCACTCCCGCTCAGGACCTATTCATCCGGGTGTTTTACCTACATCACCGATTTACTGAAGCAACAGACAGGACTGTACACTTGTGTTTTTGTTCCATACATGTCATTCAAAATGTCAGTTTCATGGTATTCAGATCATCTATTCCTCACATATTTTGAAAAGCAACAAAAACATTATACTGCAAGGAAACTTCTGCAAACCCCTACTTTGATGTGTCCAAATTCACCCATAGCATCCAATACGTCTGAACTATTTAACGTCAACGGGTCCTCATCCCCAAATTCAGCTTCATTCTCACACTGATTGGTCATCCTGTCAGTGAATCCACATTCTGATGAACAACCACGTTCATTACCATTGTTGAAACGTCACTATTGCCTGATTCTGCAGTTGGTCATCCGAAATTACATTGTGTTTAATTCGCCTGACTCGTATGACCTTTGTAACATCAGCAGGACTTGATTCCAAAATTCAGCTTCGTTCTGACCACTCCCAGGCCAGGTTATAACGTTACATTCTTGTAGGAGACGGGAGAGAAATTCCGACTTATATCTATCATCAATGTCCTCCAAAAGGACCACAACAAACGCCTCGTGGGGGTCCTCCAAGCGTTTCTGTACCAAGGACAGCTCGAACTGACATCCAGTGTCCTTACAGAAGCTGTTGGACACTACCATAAGAACCTTCCTGCATCCATTAAGATTCTTCACAATGCTGTCCATGATATGAATCTTAGGATCAAAGTCTCGTGGACGAAAGCAAATCCTCAAACGACCTTTGTCCTCCAAATTGGGCAAAGCTTGATGTCTAACCCAAACGAAGTCTTCATCTGAGTACAGAAGGTAGATGTCACACGCCAGAAGAGGCATGGCTTCAGATGAGGAGCTGTGTCTTCTCCTCTTCCAGACCAGAAAGTAGCGGATATTCCACCTCCACTTGTAGCCCAACGCAAAGCACACAATAGACATCAGCACAGCTACAACGGCACAGACCACCAGAGAGACGTACTGGCTGTCATACAGGCAAACAAATTTCGTAACAGATGGAACATCTACCAGTCTCTTCCCTTTGGTGTCTGGGGGACTAAAACAGGTATAATAGGATAAGCGACGTCTGAACAAACTCCGGGCAATCAGCCAATCTTTAAACCACAGTAAGTCACAGTTACAATTGAAGGGATTGTTCTCAATGTTGACATAGGTGAGACGACTCCGTATGGAGATCGGTATGAACACATAGCTGAGACTGTTGTCACTTAATGACATCTTCAGAAGTTTAACGTTCTTGATAAACGCGTTGTCGCTAATGGATTTAATGTGATTATGATCTAGAAACATGTACTCCAGTCCAGCCAGTTCTGATATGACATCCGGCACTTTTTGTAAGCTGCAGTTGCTACAGTTAAGATAGTTCAATGTTTTAATTAATGGTCGCACAAGGTGCTCGAGTTTGTCTGCAGCGATATTGTTGCTGGAGAGGTCAAGGTAGTTGAGGCTGTTGCAGCCGACGAATGTTTCGTCATCGATATCAGTCTGGGCAGATGATAACTGTTTCATTTCAAGCTCTTGAAGATTCGAAAATTGACGGAAGGTCTCACCACCAATCATTTGAAAGGGGTTCCCTGATATTTGCAAATGGGTCAGACACACTCCGGTACACTTTGACAAGCAGCCGAAACTACTCTTATTCAAATATGGAATCTGATTGTAACCAATCTCAAGGGTGTACAGGTTAGGAAAGGAAGACTCATTATTGAAACAGAAATCTGGCATTAACGTGATGTTATTATGATGTATCCACAAGGTAGCCAATGTCTTGGAACATACGTCACTGAAAGAATCTGGGTATAGGTTAATCATGTTTTTATGTAGGTCCAAGGTTGTCAGTTCAGGAAACCCAGCAAAGTGGCTAAAATTGAATTTAGTCAAATTGTTTTGTGCAAGATGGATCCCTGTTATCCTATAGTGGAGACCTTCCAGTAGATTCTCCTCAAGATCTGAATCGCTAATTCCAAGGTCGTTTAGGTAGATATAACTGACTGAGGGTGACAAAAAGTGAAAAGCTTTGGCCAGCGTTGTCAGTATGATTGGGTTATGGCTGATGTCAAGACTTAATAAGCTGTTTAACTTGGCAAAACCATGGGACGACACAGCTGTGATGTTGTTACCGACAAGATTCAAGTGTTGGATATTCATGTATGGAGCTGTAATGTTATCTAAAGTGTGGTTTGAAATACGTGTAAGATAATTGTATGAAAATATGAATACAGATATATTCTGAGCTCCTGAACAGAGAGGGACAAATGTCAGACTGGGATTCCGAGTACAATTTGCAACAATGTTCCTACACCAACAAAGCTTCTCGAAACAAGGTCTCTGATCATAGCTGAAGGCAAAGACACGAGCAATAAACCAAACAGTGAGAAGTACATGCATTGTCCTTGGCGACATATCGAAACTACTGGATATGTTGTTTGCCGCACAAGTTCCTCGGGTGTCTTTGGGACTAGATAAAAGCCTTGATACATGCAATATTCATGTTGCTAATGTCAGTGATCTCTAGTTCCTTTCAGTTGGTGATTTCTTAATATCACGTGTGTGCTTAACTAAAAGATAAAAAGGAGATCAATACCCATACTGAAAGTAGCAATACCTTTGGATCATGGATTCGTGAACTTCAGTCAAACTCATATAATGACATGTAAGTCATAGCAAAAAGGTAATTCTTTGAAAAATAAGTTTCAATTCAGAGCAGGTTTGTTGTGATGTACTGAATACTACCTGACGCCCTGAAGCTGTCGTGGATGCGAGCACTGTCCAACCGGTGTTGTATTGGATACCAACACTGTCACACTGGTGTTGTACTGGATACCAACACTGTCACACTGGTGTTGTACTGGATACCAACACTGTCACACTGGTGTTGTACTGGATACAAACACTGTCACACTGGAGTTGTACTGGATACCAACACTGTCACACTGGAGTTGTACTGGATACCAACACTGTCACACTGGAGTTGTACTGGATACAAACACTGTCACACTGGTGTTGTACTGGATACCAACACTGTCACACTGGTGTTGCACTGGATACCAACACTGTCACACTGGTGTCACACTGGTGTTGCACTGGATACCAACACTGTCACACTGGTGTTGCACTGGATACCAACACTGTCACACTGGTGTTGTACTGGATACCAACACAACTGTCACACTGGTGTTGTACTGGATACCAACACTGTCACACTGGTGTTTGATACCAACACACTGGATACCAACACTGTCACACTGGTGTTGTACTGGATACCAACACTGTCACACTGGTGTTCTGCTGGATACCAACACTGTCACATGTCACACTGGTGTTGCACTGGATACCAACACTGTCACACTGGTGTTGTACTGGATACCAACACTGTGCACTGATACCAACACTGTCACACTGGTGTTGCACTGGATACCAACACTGTCACACTGGTGTTGTACTGGATACCAACACTGTCACACTGGTGTTGTACTGGATACCAACACTGTCACACTGGTGTTGTACTGGATACCAACACTGTCACACTGGTGTTGTACTGGATACCAACACTGTCACACTGGTGTTGTACTGGATACCAACACTGTCACACTGGTGTTGTACTGGATACCAACACTGTCACACTGGTGTTGTACTGGATACCACACTGTCACACACTGGATACCACACTGTCACACTGGTGTTGTACTGGATACCAACACTGTCACACTGGTGTTGTACTGGATACCAACACTGTCACACTGGTGTTGCACTGGATACCAACACTGTCACACTGCTGTTGTACTGGATACCACCTCTGTCACACTGGTGTTGTACTGGATACCAACACTGTCACACTGGTGTGTTGTACTGGATACCAACACTGTCACACTGGTGTTGCACTGGATACCAACACTGTCACACTGGTGTTGTGGAATACCAACACTGTCACGCACTGATGTTGTCCTGGATACCAACACTGTCACACTGGTGTTGTACTGGATACCAACACTGTCACATTGGTGTTGTACTTGATACCAACACTGCCACGCGTATATTGTACTGGATACAACACTGTCACACTGGTGTTGTACTTGATACCAACGCTGTCACACTGGTGTTGTACTGGAGACCAACACTGTCACTCCGTGGATGTACTGGATACAACACTGTCACACTGCTCTTGTTTTAAATCAAAAGCCTGACACTCAGACTGGAAGCGCGATTATCCTTGTTGACTCGCTGGTTACAGCCTTTAATGTTTCCACAGGGAAGTATCATCGTGTTGTCTCGTCCTGTCAAGCTAAGCTTAACAAGGTCCGCCCCGTGCAATGCCAGAATACGACAATGCGAGCAGACCGGACATTGAACTAGAAATAGCGTCACAAATTTGACATTAAACTTGCAACTGCACTTGAAAGTAGTTATCTTTTGAAACGAGGCTCGTATTATCATGTCATTTCAAGGGTCACGTGTTCCCAAAGATGACAGTTATAAGGGGTTACACTACGCTTAAAGAGACTTTTTGGTATGTCGTCTCAGGTGCCGATCGTTGTAGTGAAATATATCCTGTGAAGATCCTGGTTAAAATTTATATCCAGCAAGCAACGCTATAACGAGTTGCGGTTAACGTGGCCATGCTCGCCGACTTAGATCGTATCCCAGACGCGTTAATCGATGCTCATTGTGTCAATCATTGGAATGTCAGGTCCGGACTCAAATATTTGCTGACTATATACCGTCAGATTGCTGAACGCGGCGTTAAACAACAAATCATTGATATAGAACATGGCGATAGCTCAGTTTGATGTATCAAATGGGACGAACAACCAGGAAGTATAAATGTGATTAAAACCTACCGTATGGCCAGCACCAAAAAATATATTTCCGCAAAGTCATAAATACATTTACAAAATCCCAGAGCATATACATTAATGTTTTCCTTTTATAAGACAATATAACTCCACGATTAACGCATAGCCTCAAAGACCCGTGTTCGATTCTCCCACGTGGGTGCAATATGTGAAAACCATTACTCGCACTCAAAACCCAACTCACTCACTCTACATAGCATGACCAAACATGCCGATTGTAAGATTTCCATGGCATATCAATGACACGTAGTTTACATGCCATTAAATAAATTTCAGTCATTGCATGACCATAATAATTAGTTTGTATATATGTTTGATTCGTGTTAATTCATATGTTCAGGGATATTAGGAAAAACCTTTATGCATTATTATAAGTACGTTTAATTTGTTGCTTAAGTATTTGGATACATGAAAAATCTTATAGGAGAGAGTTATTTACCTGTTTGGAAAGCCGCGTCTTCATACAAGATTCAGATCAAGATCATTTCTTGATTTCACTTCGCTCGAATGTGTTTCTCCTTCATCTCAAATGAAGCCAAGAAATAGCAATTATTACACAAGCAAGTATATTATACGACGTATAAGAAACGAGTGTGAAATTTTGTCAGAGCGAAATCGAGGGCAATACATAATTTTTCACGAGTTTCGTATGAGTCATTTGACACACGTGCTCGAGTACAATTATTTCTTTATTGTCCATTTTATTCATGTACATTCGTGCAATAAAACACGGTAAGCAAGTGTGACGGCCCTCTTCACTGACGTCACGTTCAATTGTTTAATGACGTCACAGACGTCGAAATACAGAAGTAATGGTTGCTTGGCAACAGTGATATGTGAACATATGATATATATGACTCTGGTTATGTTTCACCATATGGGTAATAAATCTCTTCTCAAACCAGCAATCTCTTCCGTGACTGCCTCAGAGGTCACAAGGACGCCACTGTAAACATAGATGGGCGGCCATTTTCACTGGAGCACTGTTATCCAGCCACAAAGACATATTTTGGAGAACGTTGTACCACTATCTTCCTTTATCCCATATATACCGTTGTTCTCGTTTATCCTACGTTTATACCACGGGTCAATTTATCCTACGTTTATAGTTATGGTCACTTTATCCTACGATACCACTGGTCACTTTATGATACGTTTATAGCGCTGGTTACTTTACCTACGTGTACACCATTGGTCACTTGTAATATGTTTATAGCGCTGGTCACTTTATCCTACGTTTATACCATTGGTGGGGCGGTGGGGTAGCCTAGTGGTTAAAGCGTTGGCTCGTCACACCGAAGAGCCGGGTTCGAATCCCCACACGGGTACATTGTGTGAAGCCCATTTCTGGTGTCCCCCGTCGTGATGTTGCTAGAATATTGCTAAAAGCGGCGTAAAACCAAACTCAGTCAGTTATACCATTGGTCAGTTTATCCCACGTTTGCACCATTGGTGTAACTTTAACCGTGTACCTGTCACTGAGTTTGTTCACCGATGTTTATACCATTGGTCACTTTACCAAATATTTATATCACTGTATGTGATTACATCATGTTTTCCTATGTTGCCACACAAACTCCATTCTATTTCCCAACTTGTAGTAAGTTGATGAAGCGAATGTAAAATGTCTTCATACTCATAATGCATTGGGCGAAGCTGACACAATGTGTATCACTTATTTGTGTCGTCATTAAATGTTCAACAAAATGGTGTCTGAAAGATTTGTTTCAGTTCGAAATCATTCCTGTTGCGTGTTTTGACGTTCAGGATGGTCAAGTCATGTAAATCGCTGTGGAGAATTACGTCCCTTGGCTTCAGAGTTAGGCACATCGTGGGTTCGAAACCCAGATTCCTCACGATTTATGATCCTTGGTGGAGGGCACCCTCTCTCTCTCTCTCTCTCTCTCTCTCTCTCTCTCTCTCTCTCTCTCTCTCTCTCTCTCTCTCTCTCTCTCTCTCACACACACACACACACACATACACTCATATCTCATATATCTATATATATATTTCCGACACAAGCGGAGCATGCATACAGTGCTTAATTTCAGGCTTAGAACGGAGGCAATTTAGCTGGGTTGTGTAGACTTAGGCTGGACTCCTTTCTCAATGGTCTGGGAGACATACCGCACTTATACATGATGACTGAGACTTAAACTTTAGGGGTTGAGTGGTTATGCATTACACTGCTGTTGATGGCGTATTCTCAGTATTTATTAGCTTATGGATCATTGTTTGACTAGGAAAATTTTCATAGCTCAATAGTCTACATATCTGGATGCCATCGATCCAGTTGGAAAAAGGTAATAGTTCTGCATTTTGGGGTATAATCTTGTATGGGATGCATTATATATTCATACGCTATGCTGCATGTCTCATAGGCCTGATAGTCTAGCCTTTTCATGAATATTGCTATTGTCATACGTGCATTTTACAATTTTACGCTGTAACCAAATAATATTCTTCTTCCTTTTCACCAGAAAAGAACGGCCTCGAATTATCGGACGTTCGACACACCCGCAAAATACTGACAAAATACTGAATGCGCTGTGGCCAAACTTTTACTTCGAGATATAAGACATATGAAACTTCGACACAAGGATGTTTGTCTCTAATAAAAAAAATCAATTTCATGCGTTTCATTATTTAGTCATAACGAGACAGGATACGATTAATCCGTTCATGAAGCCTTCAATTTACAAAGGATTCCGCACTTATGAGTAATAGGATATGAAACCCTTAACTCGACATCACAACCGGTCTGTCTGTATCTTCGTAGTGTCACTGCGCATTGTCCGACGGAATCTCAGAGCTCCAGTTTCACTCAGCTGCTGTGAGTGAGTGAGTCTTGGTGTTTCGGAATCATGCCAGGAAACAAAACGGTGAGCTGTTATGACGCAAACAGTTATGTTATAATGAGACGACAAATAAGCGTGGTTCATTGTTGCCCTTGCATATTTCTTCCGTGTATGGAAATGAATCATTGTGGCTTCTGTATGTAGATTCACGTGTCGAACTGTTTCGGAACAACAGCTGTTTTGTATAATGCTATTTCAGGCATTTGTGTTAGAGCAATACAAACATTTTATTTACACTATATATCATGATGTAAAGATTAATGACAGTTACAGTGATTAGAAACAGCAATGCGTTGTTTTGAGAACCTTTTTTCAATATACTGTACTTTCATTATGTGCAAACAATCACCTAATTTGTTTAATCTACACATTACAGTTTACTACGTTTCAATGGAAGATCCGGTAAAAATCGTACGAAATGTTCCGAGACACACCCCCTTTGTTGTAAACATGGAGTTGTCGCCCCTAGTTCTATAGTTAGCCACGAGAGGTCGGTGTGAGTGTGTCAAAAATGGAGACTGAATCTTGTTGACTGGATGTCAATACAGTAAAGTTAGTTCGATAATTGTCCAAAATACTGCGTTAACATGTCGTCCTTGCATTTACCAAGGGTGGTTAGTCAAAGAGGGAAGAGTTCTTTGGAAGTTGAACGTGAAAACTTTGAAAAAAGACAGGTGAGTTGCACATTTTGTTTTGACAAGTGCCAGACTAGGCTCAGCTATGCATGTGGAACGATGAGTGGATTTCGGTGGTAGTAAGTTGAAGAACCCTGTGCCCAAGAGGGAAATATTGTGTTAAGGTTGACCACAATGAATGTAAAGCCTACATCTACATGTATGCAACCTAGGTGACCACCAGGACGCAACCGGCAAAACATCATTGAACCGGAAAATTGCGCAAGAATTCTATGTGAGTTTATTATGCAATGGGTTTCTTGTTAGAATTCATTCCTGACATTTGATGAAATTTGAAAATGGAGTTGCATATTGAATATATATCGATGGTTATGGTCAGGCGACCCTTGCAATTTCATAAAAAAAGTGTGGTGCAAAGTATGGTATACCAAAGTTCAGTATTATATATTTGGGATCATGATCAGTATTATATATTTGAGATCATGATTTATGTGTATGTACATCAAAGCACAACAAAGCGCAGCTACACAAGGTAGTGTAATGTCTGTGCAATTTCAAACAAAAACAGTATTATGTCGTTCGTATTGCCATGGTTGAGCTTTAGCTCCTGAACTAGATCAGCTGATATTATGATAACTGACACATGGGTGTCCAAATGTACCTTTCACATATACAGGTGAAGCCGGTTGCTAAAGTTGTCACTTGGAATCTCGTTACACTATTATCATGTTAAGCATATGACATGTACAAACAGTTTATGGGACGTCGGGGAAGCATAGTGGATAAAGTATTTGCTGTTGGTACAATTTGTGGTTCCCATATCTGGTGTTCCTCTCCTCTCTCTCTCCGAGTGTTGTTGGAGTATTGCTGAAAGAGGTATTAAATCATACTCACTCAGAACATTACATTATCACAACCGGTGTTAAGGAAATGTTTTAGCATATTCCTGAGATAATAGTGTTATGGAAGTTTGACTTCCGCCCATATCCCACCTATATTTTAGTGATGAGGAAAAGATATGCATGTATATATCTAATATGATTTCAATGGAAGTAGGTTGTGTCCTATGTTCAGATTAAACTGCCAGCATAAGCATACACTGTTAGGGTTAGGTTTAGAAGGGGAATACGGGATGGAAGTCTTTCTGCTAAAGATATGCAATGTGTGAAATTTACGCTGGTCCTGTGGTCCCTGGCTAGTAAAATTTCATCAGGACCATTAAATGATAAGTTTGCAGTGGTTCTCCTGGCCAGTGAATTTTGTATTGATAGTTAAGTAAATCTATGGATGTTATTTTGAACCAGTGAAGTACAGACAGGACCACTTAGGCACTACCGGTAATCGTTGTCCACTCACTGGTCTTGTGGGAACAATTGAAATTTGAAAGATTTCTTTCCCTGGATGTGTATTACTGTTACTAACAGCTGTTTTATTATCATTATTTTATTGTCATTATCATTTTAGCTAATACACCTTCTGGGTTCATTTCTATTCCTGCATATTCAACTTTGACTTTTTACTGTATTACGAGTATCACAGCTTTCTGATGCTGTTACTAGATATTTAGGAGAAAACACTTGCTTTCCTTCCATTAGGACCAGGCCATCTTCTGTATAGTGTTAGTAGTGGGGTTTGGTAGATAGCCCCAGTTGTTGGTTGAAGAACGAATGTGTGTTTGAACATGTTGACAGGAGTCTGTCTGTACACATGGTACATTGGAGTAAAATATTTATTTCAGGAAGTAGCAAATATATTGTGAGCCAATCAAATATGTATGTGATGTTGTCTGTTAATTCCATTTCTGGGGAAAAGATGATGGTTGCTTTCTTTGAATATATCATAGTAAGTTTTGTTATATGAGACTGTCTTTTAGTTTAGGGGTTCACAGAAATATCAGCATTGGGGTTTATTCTTTTAGTAGTCAGCAAAGATTTGTACATTTTGCTAGCTGTGATTGTAAGCCATGTTTACAGATTTGTGTACCAAAATACTTCATCTGTCTCCATACATCTAATACACGCTATAACCATACAGTATGTGTTACCTTCTAATAATCTTTTTTTTAATTATTATTTAAACATTATTATTTTCTAATTAATCATGTTATAATTAAATGTATTTATATTTTGGTCAATATGTATGAAATGTCAACCTGAGCTATATTTTATAAGGTTTACTTAGATTTTATGAAACAAGATTCTCTGTAGTTACTATAGTGATGATAATATAATAATAAGAACAAAATTAATAACATGAGTAAAACTTAATCTGAAAAATATACAAATGGTGTAGACTAACAGTAGCACATAGTCTCTGAAATGAAAAAACATTTCTGGGTACATTGTATATTTGTTGAAGGGTCCATTTGACAGACTACAAATGGTGATACCTAAAACAAAAATATTATTGATAATTTGGTAACATAAAAGTGTACACCCCAACATTTTCAATTTGTCATAACATAGAAATAGAAATTGTTTTAGTATGGCATCATGATTTGTGACGGTTAAATCCAGGAATGTTGCGATTGCTCATGTAATGTAAACAACACGCTTGTCTTATCATGAACTCCGCTCACGAAGTGTGACTGTGATCAAACTTTTGTATGGTTTATGACTAGGGATGTCACGATACATAAGTTTCATGAATCGATACGTATCACGATACCCATGTCACATTTTGATATCAGTGTTTCCGGTGAGTTTCGAATTTACCAGTCCATGGGACTGGTAAGCCTCAAATATACCAGTCCCTTATTATTTTCACCAGTCCACTTCTTTTCCATGTTAAATAAAGATAACAACAAGAATGTGTGTGTGTGTTTGTGTTTCATTTTTAACTCTTTCAACACCAGTCAACCAGAGGCATTTACTGCCGTGACACCGAGTTCCCAGAGACCCTGAGGTCATAGATGAAGCCTATGTTTATGAAGGAAATTATAAGCTTGTAAAACGTTATTGCTACTACATCCCATACACCATTTAAAAGATCTAATCCTACTGTTGATAAATATGAAGTTTATTTTTATAATATTATTCAAATAATACAACTACAACTTAAATAAATGTATTTTGAATGAAAATGCAAGCTTACATTTATAACGCCCAGATAAAACCACTTAAAAAAGCAAAAACTATGGCGATTTTTCCATTTGTGACATGCGATAACATGTCCGTGCCTTTTCTTTATATTTTCATTTTTACGCCATCAGAAAATGATTATAAAAAGATTTCTTAAATAATATGTATGGTCGCTTCTATTTCCCCGATATCTGTGGCTTTCCCGCCGGTAACATGACATAACAACGAAAATACCTCCGCTAAGCTTCGTGATGCATAACATGACGGAATCGCTTGATGTCGGGCATCGCTCGAAAAGCTCTCATGGCTCTGAACATCAACAATATCACTGTACCCTTGCCAAGAGTATTTTCACAGTTGTAAGAAGCTTTATTTTATTGGATAAAGATTGGTTTCTAATGACGCTTTTCGCCACAGTCTGCTATAAGATATTAGGTGGTTGGTCAAAATCGGACAAGTGACCTAAGGCAGCCAATCATATTACAGTAATGGATACCGTCCTCGTAAAACTTAAAACCTTCAGATTTAGACAAAAGTTTTGGGTAAAAATAATGCTATTCTGAACATATTACAGCAGAAATCGCTACCTGTAACGTAAATTATGGAACTATTGACGATCGTGCTAGGTTATGACCTGTGACAAAAATGCTTCATGTATATATTTTCAAGATTAAACATCGTGTCCGGCGTGAAGATTGAGCGAGAGCCGAGATGTCACTCGTCAGTGACTTGGACTTACATTACATGATCGCACAAAAGATGGAAATAGTAATTTTTATATGTACGCTTGACAACTTTATGAATGTTGTTGTTGATTTTATTCATTAGTTTATTCAATTTATTTAATGAATTCCTAAACATCGCTACTTTGCTCTTTGACAATGTTATTGTAGACGCGTCGGCTAGCATGTGTCCGAGAATCGTTGTTTTCAAGAACATTGCGAAAAAATAGTTTATAATTTTAATTCTGATGATAATATATGATAAATTGAAATTTAATAAGTGTTTTCAGACATTGTGAAATGTGATAGATTTGATATATGAATCAAAAGTCAGGTAGGTTCCTAAAATTATGTCTCATTTTGGCGTTGTGGCGTTGGGTTCGAATATGGTGGTTGAATAGTTAAGGTTATGTCCATTCCCATCGTGAAAAGTTGTCTTACTATTGGCCCCGATAGAGTATTGAAATCTGATGCATTATAACCTCGCCAAAAATGCCTCTCATCTGGATCGAGGGCTGTTGAGGCGTCCAGCCAATGACAATAATAAGCTTGGGACTGTTACTAAAATAGACACGGAATTTACTGCGTATATGGCATATGGTGCAGATCGAATTTACATGGAAGTTTCGGCTTTATCTAACAGTTGCTGGTAATTTGTATTGCCAATTTGGAGGAAATGATTTAACCGGGTGTATTTATTGCCGGTCCCCAGGACTTGTTTGCCATAAATATGCCGGTCCTTTGATTTTTTTACCGGTAAAATACCGGCATATGCCGGTAAACGGAAACACTGTGATATGTATCACTATACCTATTTTCGTGGCATTATTGCATAAATTTAGTTACATTTTGAACATTAATATTTCATATTTTATTATTCAATAATTGTCCATGAAAAGATCAACATTTTTTATTCTCAGAGATTAAATAGTTTTAATTTCATATCTTTGCACATGAAAAATAATAATTTATAACTCTCATAACGTCAAAAAACTTACAGTTGCAAAATGTAAATGATACATAAACATATTTAAACTGATACTTTCAAAACTAAATATCGATACAGTTTTGAATGTATTGATAATTGTATCGTCTTAGAAATAGTATCAATGTATCATGGCATCCCTATTTATGATACACGAACATGATGGAAGTGCATGTTTATATACAAACATTTAATTGGCCTGCAAGCAACCGATATTGAAAATACCTGTTTCCAAATGACTGTCAACTGAAC